CCGCGTGGCGATGGGCCCCTGGCCGCGGAGCCACGCGAAACCCCCTCCCGTGGACCCTGGGGACAGACAGTGCGTACGTGGGTCCTCGTCCCCCCAAGGTTCCCCAAGAGCTCTGGGCCGTCAACGCCAGCATCCGCGTGCTGGGTTATTGAGGGTAGAAAGGCTGGGGAAAGAGGATCCCCTGGAATCCGGCAGAAAAGTGGGGTAATGCCCTGCTTCTACCATGTCATGGGAGACCTGGCTCAGGCCATGGAAATTAGGCAGGTAAATGCGGATGGACATGCTTGGTCACCGGTGTGTGGCGTACAGGCAGCCCATGGCATCCCTGCATACAGCTCCCCCTCAAACTCTAAGGTCATCGGGCTCATTTCCACTACTGACACCTTGAGGGGATCCACACGGTGGCACTAAGGGTATGGCTTCCAGGCAGAAGCAGTTCGAGGCCAGCCTGGACTACCTCGGCTGGGGGCCGATCGCCGGCTCATACCTGTAATCCTAGCTACTCAGGAGGCAGAGATCAGGAGGATCCTGGTTGGAAGCCAGCCCCAGGCAAATAGTTTGTGAGATCCTATCTCGGAAAAAAACAAACAAAAAAATCACAAGAAAGGGCTGGTGGAGTGGTTCAAGGTACAGGCCCTGAGTTCAAATGCCAGCACCGCAAAAAAAAAAAAAAAAAAAAAAGAGTGGGGGATGGCTTGTGCTTCCCAACCTCTCTCCCAAACTATCCCAAGACAAACCCAATTCAAGTAAGAACAAACTGCTTACCACAGAAATGCAGCTCCAGCCACCCCACCTCCACCACCGCCCTTACTGCCGCTACCGCCCCCCCCACCCCCCCCAATACCCCTCCATCCGGCTCATGGGCGCGCGCGCACACACACACACACACACACACACACACACACACACACACAGACCAAAGAAACCTTGCCCCTCCTTGGAGTGGATGCAACCATGTAGGAGAATGCAAGGCAGGGGCCAAAATAGCTCAGCCCACACAGGGGTGTGTGTGTGAGGGGGGTAATTTTAGGCCCTTTAGGGTCTGATGGAGCACAACCTTACCCAGCCCAGATAGTACCCTCACTTCTCAGCACCCCTTCTTGTGTGGAGCTTCTGAAGTACCCCTAGGGACTAGCCTCAGTCCCAGGATCCCAGACTCCCCTGAGGTACAGAGTCCAGTCTGTGTCATCCAACTCCCCCAACCCCCATCCAGAAGGTCCCAGCCCTCAGTCTTAAGTGGCCACTACAGTCACCATTGTGCTGTGTCCACAATTAAGTTTCTGCCGATTGCAAGGGACAGGGAAGCAGTCTTTGCTGCAGACCTTGTCCTGTGCAAGGTGGACCAGCCTGGACCTCCCCATTCTTCTGTCTGTTGGACCAGATCACTGGGAGACTTTTTCCCAATGCACAGTACCAATAAGGATGAACTCCCAGATACAAGGGCCGTGATTACACCACCTCCTGCTCAGCCTGCTCCCCAGCCCCTACTGGACCCTGGACTGTGGGAAGCAGTTAAAAAACTGCTTATGTGCTTAGTGAGGAAGAAAGATCTTTCCTGTAGCCTTGGACTTTCCTGCCTTCTCCATCCCTCAGGGTAGCAGGCACTGGAGCATGAGAAAGGAGCCTACCTGACATTGAACCCTGGGACTTGCACCAGGAAGCCCTCAGCCCATGAATGTAGAGGGTAGAGGTTTTGTTGAATAGGATATTGGGAGCAGTGACACTGGAGACCAGTCAGCCCCAGAGAGGTAGGCTTCCCTAGAATCATGCCCACCCCCATTCCTAAAGTCTGGAAAGTTTGCATTAATCTTCTCTGCCCTCTCCGCTTCATCAGGCGGGGTGACCAGCCCTGTGACCACACCCTCACAGGCCTGAGGTGCTTCCATCTCTAGGCTTACATTGGTCATGCTGGTCACAGGAAGCTGCTGTCAACAAGACACTGCAGGCCACTAAAGGCCAACTCCATGGATGTGGACCCTGCATCACCCTATCTCAATGTCTGGGTCCTCCTAGACATGGGGAGATTAAGGGAAATTTCCTTAATTTTGAAAGATTGCATCTTGGGATTCCAGGCTCTGCCTTCACTGGAAAAGCCCCTGCTGCTATCTTACCAGCCCAGATTTCATCAGGACCGTGAACCTTCACTATCTACCTGTTTCTGTCCTTGACAGTGCCTTCTGCTGTCTGGCCTTGGTAAGTCATGCAGCAGTCTCTGGAGGTAGAACAGCAGGCTTTCCACAGCCCCAGAGCTGGGCAGAACTGGTTGGAGGGACCCTAGTTCACACAGTCTCAGCTTCTACATCTCCTTTAAGAAGCCAGAAATCTCAGCCACTCACCCAGGATGTCCAGCTGCTGGTCTCCAGTATCCAGCTCTGGGTCCAGTAATGTCACCTGTAAGACTCCCAGTAGCCCAGGTCCCTTGTACAGCAAAGGGCAGGGAAGGACTGCATCCTACCACCTGCAGCCTGGGCTTACTGTCCCTAACTCCCAGGGAGTCACTGTCTTTGAGTCTCAGTTTCCCATTTGTAAATTAGAAATAATCAGTCTCCTGGACACTGATTAGCTAATTGACATAGAAGGGCTTTGTCTCCTGCCTGGCACCTCAGGCACCTGGGTCCTTTTTTCGTGCAGCCTAAAGCCCTGTTTGTTTGGTTTTTAAAGCATTGGAGTGTGAGCTCAGGGCCTTGTGCTTGCAAGGCAGGAGCTCTATCTCTTGAGCCATGCCCCAACCCCTTTTTGCTTTGGTTATTTTTGAAATAGAGTCTCACTTTAGGCCTGGGCTGGCCTGGACCACAATCCTATTTATGCTTCCTGTGTAGCTGGGATGATAAGTGTGTACCACATGCCCAGCTTTTATTGGTTGAGATGGGGTCTCATGGACAATTTTGCCCAATTTTGCTACCGCCTGATCTTTGGCTCCTGAAAAGGTAACTCATTTTGACCTTTTTACTGTCACTCCAGCCTGGAAACAGTGGCCCTGGACATCTGTGACCAGCCATATAGCAAGCACCAGCAAATTCAATGCTGAGAAGCAGCCAGTGGTGGAGATGGTTCTGGGAACAATGACAGGAGGCAGGCAGTAGGCTGTGCTGCTCCTTGTCCCAAGGCCTGCGGAAAAGCAGCAAAATCTGCCACCTTCTTACACCTGTCCTGCAGGAATATGGAAGGATTCTCTCTGCCTCCCTCTGTCTGCCCAGCCTGGCTCCACGCTCCCCAGCATGAGGTTAATGCAGGATGGGGATGCCATCCATGGCCACAAGTAGCTAACAGTTGTCAGACCTTCTCAAGGTCACCTCAAGACAACCTGACTGCAGAAATCAAGGCTGTGAGGAAGAGAAGGGCTCTTCAGGGAGGACTCCCTGCAGATCACGAGTGCTCCCACTGTAGCTCAAGAATCCCACCCGGAAGTCAGCCACAGGGTAGTGGAACATGCCCAGCCTATGCCTGGCCCTCAGAGCAGGGTTGAAATCCCACCTTGTCCCACTGTCCTGCCCTGAATCAAATCCCAGTTTGTGAGAGAACAGAATTTCCACCAGGATGATGGGGTGATGGGGCAGGGAAGGGACTGTCCTCACCTGTGAAAGGGGGTACCTCCACCACCTAATTCCTAAAGCAGTCTCAAAGGTCTAGGGGAGAAGTTCTCTCTCTTTTTTTTTAACGGACTTTTCAAGCATATGCAAAAACAGAGAGATAATTTGACAAACTCCTATGTGCCTTACACCCCAGCTCCCATCAGTATCACTACTTCATCTACTCCTTCCCTTAACTTCTGGATTCTTTTCAAAATGAAGCTGAGATAATCAGGTCATTTTACCTCTAATACTTCAGAATGAATTACAAAGACTTTTTTAAAAAGCATAACCACAATACCATTATCATACCTCAAAGTTAACCATATTCCTTAATATCAATATCTCATCAGAGTTCAAATTTCCCCCAGTTGCTCATGAATGTATGTTACAGTTAGTTTGGATTTGAGTCAAATAAGGTCAACACATCACATTGAGTTGATATATATCTGGATTTCTTGGAACCTAAATTCCCCATCTTTGCTCTTCTTGTAATTTTTGGTCACTGAAGAACTGGGTTATCTGTTCTGTAGTTTCTGGATTTTGGTAATTGTGTTCCCATGTGTCACTTCTCATGTTCCTCTGTTCCTTGTATTTTTGATAAACTAGTGATTGGATCCAAGGATTCGGATTCATGTTTGGTGCTTTGTTTTGTTTTGAGCAAAAATAATACTTGGTTGGGGGGGGTCACATTTTGGAAGTAGGGTCTGTTTTTGTGATTCAAGCAGGAGATTCAATGTTTACAGTCAGATACACCCATTATAAGTTCCCATTAGGAAGAGCTCAAAGTATAAAAGTCTCAGTCAAACACACAGACTGGTTGAGCACTGGAAAGATCACAGATGTTTAAGGCTGGGATGGAGAGGGAAGCCAGGCTCACAAGCCGAATGCTATAGAAGGCCATGTCTATGGCTTTTGGACTGCGGGGGGGGGGGGGGGGGGGGGGGGCATGGAACTGTAACTTTAAGAAAGCAGATCTTGGGTTGGAGAGGACAGGGTTGGTAGTAGGGGGCACTCTGGGACTTGTGGGAGATCATGGCTGCTGTCTTGGCCATAGTGTAAATGAACAGCTTTGTGTGTTTGCAAGGACTTACTGAGAACAAAGGTGTTACCTGTTGCCTCATCTCCAGTTCCCAGGCTCTGTTAGAGTTGCCTTTTCATGTCTAGGCTCTGTTAGGAAATCTCACTGGAATGACAGTCTCTTGTCACCTGTTCACTCAGCTAGCATTTATCAGGCACCCATTCTGGGCACCAGAGGCTCTCAGATGATCTGCCCTCAAGACACATCTAGGCCAGCCAGGACATGGCTTGGGTCCATCTGACACATACACCAAGGGCTTCACTAGTGTTTACCTCTCCTGGTCCTCTTGACACTAGCTAGCCAGATCATGCCAGATGGAACTCATGGGTGTATCAAAAAATAATCTTTATTGTCACTAGTATAAAACAGAGCAGATCAACTGGCCTCTCAGTCTGTACAAAGTGTGGGGCAGGAGACCACCTGGGCTGCCCCATCTCTCTCATAATGCCCTGCCCAGGAGCGCCACAAGGCAAGAGGGCCCCCAAGTCCTTCCCCTGGGGATAGGGATGAAGATGGTCAGGGTGGGGGGTGTCTCTGCTGAGGGAGGCAGAGGGGCAAAGGATAAAACTGGAGTGGGAAAGCCCCTGGATCGTACATCATACCGTCCCCACTGCACCCTCCCAGTCCACTGAACAGAGGAGTGCTGGGCAGCCTGCCACCAGCTGAGACGGTTCAGGTGGCCTCAGAGGGCCACACGGGTGCAGCAGTGGCGCAGCAGGCAGGGTAGGATGCCACGGTTCAGCTGATGGAACTCCACGAGCTGGAGCAGGTCTGTGAAGCGGGTCTGGCCGTCGTCCATGCTGAAGTAAAGGCAGCCCTCATCCTCGCTCTGGGGTGTGACCAGAGGGCAGAGGGTCAGGAGGGGATGAGGCTGAGGAGGAGCTGCCCCTGGGCCAGAACTGAGGTCCCCATTTCTTTTTTCTTTTTTTTTTTTTTGTGCTCTATCACTTGAGCCATACCCCTAGTCTTTTTGCTTTTATTTGGGTTTTGAGATACTCTTGCTAAGTTTTGCCCAGGCTGGAACTTCTGTTTCTGACTCCTGAGTAGCTAGGACCACAGGCATGCATATCACACCCAGCTTTGAGGTTCAGCTTTTTTGTTGAGATGGGGTCTCACTAACTTTTTTTGCCCAAACCTCGATCCTGATCACCACCTCCCAAGTAGCTAGTGTTATAGGCATGAGCCACCACACCTGGCTGAAGTCTCCATTTGGTATGCAAGGAAAAAGGAGACTCACTCAGGGCCAGGGAGCTTCTTGCGGGAGGAGGACGCTGATGAGGAGGACAGGCTACTTGGGAATCCTGTGTCCCCTGCTACTGGAGTTCAGGGACTCCTGGGGAAGAAGGGGTCACTCACCGGTAGGATGAGATAGTGCTTGACTTTCTGCAGGTGGCACAAGGACAGGACAAAACCCTGGGGGTTCCGCTGGCTCTCCCGGACCAGGAACAGGCTTTGTGGAAATCAGGGAGTATTACCAAGAATGCATGGCCACCTTGTCCCAGGGTCTCTCTAATCACCAGTCTGCTGCCCACCCAGCTCAGCCCAACAGTTTACCCATCCACCAGGCCCTGCTGTCCGATGAGCCGCTGGCTCTCCTCCCGGGAGATTCGTCCATGGAACCAGGGTTGTGTGCGATGGATGGCTGAGTGGGGTAAGAGATGGGATGTCATCAGAGAAGGAGACCATCACCCCATCAGGCATGCTCAGAGAAGCCACCCAGGGGCTCTGTCATCACCAACCTGCACTGAGGCTCGTGCCCGAGCACGGGGTAGGCAGGCTGAGGCGGTGGTTTGTCTTCTTCTGCAGAGCAGTGAGGGACACAGGAGTCAGGGTATTGTAGGGAGTGTTGCCTGGCACCCCCTAGCTGGGGGCCTTCCCTGGGTTCTTCTCTTTCTCCCTCCCATTCCACAAAAACCCACAGAGAGGGGTCCCAGCAGACAAGAGATGGTCGCAGGCCCCTCACCCTCCAGGCCTGAGCCTCCTCCAGTGCTGCACTCAGAGCTTCTCGTGGGTTCTCAATGACACGCCCAGCGTGGCCGGAAAAGTCCATGGCCACCAATGTATTATCTGAGACACTCCTCTGGAGAGAGAGGGGACGGAATGGGCAGGGAAGGGCTCAGAACAGCTGCCCTGGACCAGAGCCTGGGTGCCCACTCCCTCCCTATGCCCCTGTGGACACTCACCAAGGGCGGGGAGCCCAAATAGGACGGGCGCAGGTGTCGAGATTGAGCCTGCTGATAATTCTTATACAGCTGCACCCCATACTGGGATTGGAGAAAGAAAGAGGATCTGAGGTCAAGAGGGCCTGGGAGCAAGGCTGTGAAGTCCTCAGACCAGGACTCCCCAAGAGCAGGGCTGTTTTTACCCTTGAATGGGGCTTCCTGAAGTTGGAACAAAGACTCTGGGGTCTCTTCCCTCTGCTGGAAACCCTTTAGGCAGGATCAGCCCCGTGCTACTCCCAGGACCTCACCTTAAAGAGGCGGAAGGCAGCCAACCAGCAGGTGCGACTCTGTTCATCCTCACTGCAGAAGATATGAAGGCCCTTGTGGCCATTTCGCAGCTTGTTAGGCTGAAGGAGAGGAAATGGGCTGGTCTCATGTCTGCACTTAGGACCAGATGTCTGTGCCTGGTCTCCATGGGGCAGAGCAGGACCCACAGAATCATGCAAAGTGCAGGGACAGGAGTCTGGGTACCCACAATGGAACTCAGAAGCCCCAGGTAGGATCTTGGGGCCTAAGCAGCTCCCATCCTCCCTCTGGCCAGGCCAAACCAGATCAGACCAGGAAAGAGTTGTCACCTTGACACAGAAACCGAAATCTGTGGGCATCCCATACAGCTTGCGGCCCTGGGTCACCACGTACACATTGGATTCATTCACGTCTGCCACGTACTGTAAATGTCTTGGATCCTGAGCAGCACAAGGAAGTAGGACTTGGTACAGGTAGATCCTGTCTCCCTATGACTGTCCCAAGCCAGGTAAGATTTCAGGACCAGAGAGGGTCAGGGAAGTACCCAAGGTCAGAACAACAAAGGGAAATACAGCCTAACTTGGGCTGGGGGCATAGCTCAAGTGGTAGAGCGCCTGCCTAGAAGTATAGCTTAGTGGGGCCAAGCAACACGCCTACGAATTCCAGCTACCCAAGAGGCGGAGATCAGGAGGATTGTGGTTTGAAGCCAGCCAGTGCAAAAACAATTCAGCCAGGTGTGGTGGTATGTGCCTGTAAAACCAGCCATGCAGGAGGCCCAGATAGGAGGATTGAGGTCCTAGACCAGCCCGGGGGTGGGGGGGAGACCCTATCTAAAAATTAACCCAAAGCAAAAAGAGCTGAAAGCATGGCTCAAGTTGTAGAGTGCCTGCTTAGCAAGTGCAAGGCCTTGAGTTAAATCCCTGTACCATTAAAAAAAGAAAAGTATAACCTAACTTGAAATCAGGTTACCTGTCTTTTCTACTGCTACCTCCTGGAAGAGGTAAGCTAGGTAAGAAAGAATGGGGAGGAAGCATGAACTAGAGGCAGCCAGCCCTGTAGGAAAAGGAGGAGCATTTTGGAGGGGGGAGGTGTGTAAGAGGGTAAGAAACATCTTGGAGAAGTGGGGGGTCTAAGAAGGTAGCTTTAGGAATTCCAAGAGGAAGGCATACTTGAGGGGCTAGGGATGGCAATGTCAAGAACTCACCTTGGAGGTGCCCTTGGTAGAGTAATAGAGGCCGGAGCGGCGCAGGAAGCAGAAGAAGCGTTTCCAAAGCTTGCGGCCTGAGCCCCGCAGCTGCAGGAAGCCCTGGATCTCTGGGAAGCTGCCAGCATTCAGGAAGTTCTTAAGTAGGGAACAAGAGTGAGAGTGAGGGGCCTGTCCTCCTCCCTCCCTGACCTGGCTGTCCCCATGTGACAGACAAGAAACTGATGCTCGGGCCTGGCAAGTATCTGTGCACAGTCACACAAGGGACAGGCACCAGGCTTCCAGGTGGAAAAGCACTGGCCAATTCTGGGGAGTTGTGAACACAAAGTGAAGTGGGCGAATCCCCTCACCTGGATGAGGTCTTCATGGGATACGCCTGTGTGTGCATCAAGACAGCTAGAAACCATCTTTTCTGGGAACAGGGAGTGCTGGGGAAGAAAAGGGTGAGCGATCAGGGCTCAAGGATCCAGGCTGGGATGAAGATGTCCTGGAGCCCAGATCCCCCTCCTATACACTCACTGGGGAGCTCTTGAAGAGTTCATACTTGGCAAAGTTTTTCCGGAAGACAAAGCGGCTGTCTCCACCAACAGGCCAGGCTGCCTGTACTTCCACCACAAACTCATGGTCCTCCAAACCCCGCTCTGAGGTCAAGGGCAAAAAGTAGGGGTTAGTGGAGATTAACCAGACCTCCTGGATGAGCCATACACCTGGCCCAAAATGTGACACATTGCCTCCTGTTGCACGCAGCTCTCTGCACTCTGACTCACCCAGTGCTAGATGGGGGTGGCACTCCACCAGTCCCCAGCTCTCGTCACTCAGGGCATGAGCCCGCTGCACCAGCATTTCACACACATGGTGAGCTGTGGTGCCTGCTGCCACTTCCACAGACCGGCAGGCCCCGTCCTCGCTGTACACCTTTACAACCTGCACCCCAGGAATTGCAGGTGACTTGGGGCAGGGCAAAGATTCTTTCCTAGTTCCCTTCATTGTTGTACCCGAAGAAACCCTGGCTAAGATGCCCCCATCCCAAAAGGTGCTATATCCACCCAGAGTCAGAGCACCCCATCCCTGCCTTTCCCAGAATAACTCACATGGAGGCGGTCAGAGTCTCGAGGGAGTAGCCCCCTTGCACTGGAGGATCCCCCAAGAATGGGAGTCTGAGAAGGAGGACTGCAGAGCTCAGGGAAGGGGTTGGGGATGGAAGGCAGGGAGGTTGCCTGAAGCTCCTCTTCTCGAAGTCTCCTATGGGAGGCCAGGGGCAAAGGAAGGGAAGTAGCTGTATGTCAGGCAGGGTTTGCCTCCCCCACCAGCCTCTCCTCAGCCCCATCACCCCATTGTACCTGCTGGCTGGGATGGGCAGAGGCTGGGATCTTTTCACTTCCAGGGGAAGGGGGGCATCGGGAGGTGGGGGAGTCCCAGGAGGAGTCCCAGGAGCTGGGCACAGGTCCTCTGGGGAGCTGCTAAGATGAGGCAGAGACAGATCCAGCTCCATGACATCTGAGGAAGAAGAGGGGGTTTGATGCAGTCACTCGGTGCCCTGGTCCTGGGGAGAGGGGCCAAGAGGACCCAGACCTGCTCATCTCCCATAGTTCTCAGGGTACACCTCAGAGCTGACAATGCCCCCCTCTAACTGGATTTTCCCAGAGCTCTCAGAGGATAGGATGAACTAATTTTACAAAAGGGACACAGACCCTGAGAAGACAGCAGGTGAACCTGCTACTTGAACTCCAAATTCAGTGCTCTTCTTCCAGCCAAAGCTGCTCAGGATGAGCTGAAAGGGTCCCAACCACAGGCCTGGCTGCAGCCACAAACTCTGTGTCCACAGACTATCTGGGCTCATGGCAAAGGAGTGGGGTGCTCACTCCACTGGGCTCTGCCCCATGTTTTTCCAGCACTTTGTTGCCAGACACAGTTGCCAAGCCTGTGTGGCAATGCTTGGTCAAGTGATGAATGATGTACAGAAGGGGAGAGGGAGGTGGCAAAGGACAGGAACCAGGAGGGCAGGCTCAACTGTAATGGAAAGGGAAGGCCTAATCTGGAACTCTTGCCCAAGGAACCTTGTATGCCCCTTAGGCCCTTCATTCATCCTGCTCAGCTCTTTCCTGAAGGCCAGTGCTATAGCTAGCCACTGCCTCTGAGAAACCTTCCTGGGTTTGCCACATTCAGACCAAATGACTCCTTGTCAGCATTGTGATGGGGCCTTAACATCAATTACTGTGCATCTGTCTTATCCACCCCCTAGTCTGAGGGTATCTACCCCCAGGTTGTGCCAGAGGCTCACCTATGTCTTAGCACCCACAGATGCAGACACCCAGAACAAGTAAGGACAGGAGAGAAAGGGTAAAGATGCTCACTGGACTTAGAGACAGAACTGGCCCTCCTCTGCTGGAAGTAAGCAGACCCACTGGGCTGAGCTGAGACCTGATGAGACTGAAAAAACTGTGCTAACCCTAGCCCCCTGCTCTCCAGACACTGAGCCAGGGCTATGAGGGCACCTGGGGCACCTGAGATTGCCCCCACAAACACCTAGAATGCAGCAGGTATTTGACCCTTCCATGAGGGCATGAGGGGATTTGGGGGACAGATGAGTCAGGGTAGGGCAGGACAACTGTGCCGTAGGCTCTCTATTCAACTTTGACTCATCCATACTTCCTGGCTTAAGAGAAACACAAACAACCGTGCCTTTGCCCTCCACCTGCAACTCCCCAACCCATGGGTAACCTGGGAGGAAGGAGGGGTGGCAGGGAAGGAGCAGAATGGGGAGGAGGATGCAGCCTGAGGCTCCTCTGACATCATCCCCTCTTCCCCACCCTTGGCCTGCCTCCAGTCCAGGTGGGACCTGCAATCTGCCCACCTCCAGTCCCAGGCCACCACCTAGCCAGGTAGCCCACTCACTCAGGGACAGAGGCAATGCCTGGCCTGGATCTGGAGTGGAGTTCACCCCCTCCCCGCAAGCAGCACCAGAGATCCTTAACCCTGGTCTGAAGCCTACCAGTCTCATTCTGCTGTAGCCACCCCTAGGACCCAGGATGCATCTGACCCCATCACCCCAGGGAGAGGTTTCCTCCTTAACATACTCTCCTGTGTCCTGACCTAAGGTGTACCACAGATAGGGGCAGGAATGGAGTCAGAACACCCCCAACCCCACCTCATCTAACCCCTCATTTCAGGGAGGACTCAACAGTGGGAAGGGCAGTGTTTGGAAGGGGAAGAAATGGATTTGAGTCAAATTAAAGACTGACAAGGGTGGGGGAATGGGGTGTGTGGTGGGGGGTTGACTCCAGACTGAGGTTCACCTTCAGCTTCCTCCACCCAGCCTGGAGAAGAGTGGAGCAGTCAGGCTCAAAGAATTGAGGCAGGACAAGGGAGTCCTGGCTCTGGTCCTGGAAGCCCCTCTTCCAAGAGATCTGAAGCTTTCAATCTGGGCCTTAGCAAAACTTCTGTTGGAGAAATTGCCACCTCCCCAAATCATTTTGTCCCCTCAACACTTCAACTTCAAACCTGGCTTCCCAGCCTACCTCTCCTGTCTCAGCAGCTCCAGCCCCACCCTCCTTCCTACCCTCCCAGCAGCCTTGTTTACTTCCTGAATCTTGCCCCACCTGGCTGGCCCCAAGGGCGGGTGGCTAGGCCCAATGTTTGGGGCCAACAGAAAACAAGGCCACCTTCCATGCTTTCCAGTGGGGGGAAGGGGTTGGCAGAGCAGAGGACTAGGCTGGGGGCCTAAGTGCAGGGAGGTCTGGGTCTGGCCCAGTAATCCAGACCTGGCCCCATCACGGGAGGATCTTAACCTTTAGGGGTGTGGGGGCCCAGGTGAGGAGGTGGGAAACCCCTAGGTGACCTGGAGGTCCCACCTATTCCCTCATTCAGGGAAAAACACCCAATGGGGGAGGAAGGGAGGGTGTACAGCTCTTTTAAAGTTTAATTTGGGAAGAATGCTAGAGTGTCTGAAGTTAATCATTATTTTCCCCTCCGGGAGGTCCTCACAAATAACACACCACACACACACACACACACACACACACACACACACACACACACACACACACACACACACACACACACACACACACAAATAACACACCACACACACACACACACAAATAACACACACACACACACACACACACACACACACACACACACACACACACACACACGGCAGGATATTGGGGGGAGACAGGAGAGCAGAGTCCAGGCCAGGCTAACCCAGAGGGCATTCCTGCGGACAAAGGGGTTGGGGGCACCTCCTCCTCGCCTGCAGGTGTGTTCTGGGTCTCTAACCCGCCTAGGAGCCCCAGACTCAGATCTGGGTCTTTTCCCAGCGGGGATCCCCTTTTCCCACCACACACTTTCTCCAGGCCCCACAGCACTGCAGACCCTCCCAACAGCCACCCCTCCAGCTGACCTTTCCCACTTCATTCTGAAGCCAGAAGGGATTCCTTGGCTCACCTGGGCACTACGTGCTGATGAGGGCGGGATAGTGTTCCCGCCGGGAGCTTCAGCGGTTTAGGGAATCCCTCTCCATTACTGCCCTCCAAACTGGAGGACGCCCCCCACCCCGCCCGCGGAGTCTTGCGGAACCCCAAATTGGAGTAAATTGCGCATAGCAAGGGAGTGAGGACAACCTTGGTATCCCGACCCCTGCTAGCCCTTTCTCTCTGAGAAGGACTAGTTTCAGCGGGAAAGCCAAGCGATAGGACGGAGACCCTACTCCCCATCACCATCAACTAATTTGAGTGTTGGGGGTGGGGCGTTTTGGGTAGGATGGGAAAGAGAAGATGTGAAGGCCAGGAAAGGAGTGCGAACAAGGGAGGTCGGGGGCAGAAGGTGAGGAAGGGGCAGGATGGGGGATGGGAGGCAAAGAGAGAGTAAGGCCTCCAGAGAAACAGCAAGCGTCCGAATCTTTCTTTTCCTTATTGACCCCAGACCTATCCCGCACTCTTCCCCTAAGACGAAGTGCCCTCTTGGTCCTTACCTGGACCCTGGGCGTCGGTACACCTGCCTGGGGCCACCGGTTTAAGGAGGGAGACGCCAGGCCCTTAACTACCTGTCCCCTCGCTTTGCCCCCGCCCCTGGCCTGACATCACTGAGTGGGGAAGGAAAGGGGGAGAGCCTGACCGCCGCCTGTTCACCCACCTGGGCAGCCAGCCAGCTCGGCCCGAGGTGGGCACAGCCTGGGGCCCTGGTGCTGCTGGGGGTAGGAGCAGGTTGTCGTCTAGAGACAAGGCTCAGTCGGCTTACCTGGAGGAGCCTCAGCCGGAGTAGCAGGACACAGGGACCAAAGCCTGACCCCAGATACCTAGACTTGAATTCAAATCCACTCCCGCCTCTCTACAGGTGGCAGGAGGGTGTCCCGACTCTGGACGTGGAAGTCGGTGGAGGAGGAGGGAGCCCTGCGTGTCCAGATTCCAGGCCCAAAGAAACTAAAATTATCTTGGGCAGGTGGGGGCGGGGCCTGAGGAGGTGGCCGGGAGGAGGAAGCAAAGGAGGAGGGGCGGAGACTCCTGACTCGGTGCCGACTAGGATTGTTTTTTCCTTTCCAAGCCCGGCAGCAGGTGCCTGGGGAGAGGCGGGGAAGACAGTCGAATTTAAGAGCCTGGAGAGCGAAGATCAAGAGTCCAGACTACCTGGGAGGGAGGGTTTGCAGGCTGGATGATAAGGGGAAACGGCCACGCCCACTGTCCCAGAGGCTGGTCAGGTCATTGGCGAAGCGAGGGGGCCCGTCTGCAGCTTTGGGTCCCACCCCCTAGGACAAAGGGCGCTCTGCGAAAGAGGGTGACCAGCAACCTGTCCTGTTCCTCGACCTCCTGTCCCAGTCGGGCCACTCAGCTGCGCTCTGGCCCCTCAGAGGCACCCAGGGTATGCCCTCTCTTCTGGGCAAAGCCCAGACTCTCACCTTCACCTTTTCAAATTGAAGGGGTTAGGTAGGGTCGCGCAGCGGGGGACTGGCCACGGCGATCTGGGGAAAGCTTGGGCCCTAGCGAAGGGGACTCCAGATAAAGCAGTAACTCTAGCTTTCGGGTCCAGCCCTCGGCAAACACCGGGGAGCCGGAAGAGGGGCTGGGAGGCCGAGATCAAAGGCAGCGGCCACCTCCCATCTTCATGTGGGTGACAGTTGAGAAAACAAACAATCCATAGGGTGATAAGAGGGTTGCCCTGGGGGAGCCCAGAGGAGTGACTTCAGCCCCAACTTTCTCCAAAACTGAGTTTTCCTTGAAAAACCAGTATGAGTGGGTCAAGTGAAGAGGTAGGGGAGGGGCGAGGTCCCCTGGGTCATGAAGCAGCTTGGGCAAAGGCAGAAGAGGCAAATCACTCATTCATATGTTCAACCATTTAAGTACCTAGCATATGTCAGTCCCTTTACTGGCCATACAGAGGTAAGCAACAAAAACAGACCCGCCCTTAGCCTCATGTAGCACAGTCGGGAGACCAACCACATTAATCAAAGATACACACAAATAAGAAATGACGGGTGACAGCTATGCTGAGAGTGTGACTTACCCAGGGAGCTAGGGAGTCACCTCTCTCCAGAAGTGACAAGTGAGAAGAGAAGCTGGCTGCAGTGAGGACAAGACAATGGGGGACAATGGAGGACAAGACAATGGTAGGAATGGACACAGAATGGGGGTGGGGGGCTGGGAAGAAGCTACACCGCTTAGGTAGGTGTCAAAAAGGTGTCCCAAGAAGGGCCTGGGACTCCCCTGCCTCCAAGTCTCTTAGGCTTTGGTGAAAAACAGATCCTTGGGCTACTCTCCAGGTACTCAGACCCAGGAATGTGTGGTATTGACAAGCCCTCAGGTGGCTGTTCTGCAAACCGGGTTTGAGAGCTATCCTTCCTGTTTAGCCAGCCTGACAGGAGTGGTGGGCAGAGGTTCCATCTGTTCAGCAGGGGCACAGAGCAGTGGGCAGGTTTACACTGTGGAAAGACTCCCCAGGATGTTTAAGGCTGGGCTGGAGGGGGAAGCCAGACTCACAGAGCCTAGTGCTGTAGAACTCCATGTCTATAGTTTTCCGGAGGGAGTGGAACTGTAACCTTAAGGAGAGAAAGCAGATCTCTAGGCTGGGGAGAAGAAGGTTGGCAGTAGGGATACAGGGCCTTGTGGGAGGTCCAGAGCCATTCTGTCTTTGCCATGGTGTGAATGCATAGCTCTGTATGTTTTTCAGGACTCACAGAAAAGATAAATTTTACTGTGTATAAATTGTGCCTGAACTTTTTTTTTTTTTTCAGTCCTGGGGATTGAACCCAGGGCTTTCCATATGCTAGGCAAGAACTCTACCACTTGAGTGAGTGCCCTACTCAGCACATGTATCTGATTTTTCTTTAATCTAAAAGAAACAACAAAAAAGAATAGGTTTACAGATGCTCCTTGACTGCTGATACGGTTATGGATTGATAAACCCATCACAAGTAGAACATATCTTAAGTAGAAAATGCACTTAGTACACCTAGCCTAACCAAGCATCCGAGTCCACTTTCTTTTGAATCCTTATTGCATTCATGCCATTGTAAAGTCAGAAAATCATAAAAAATAACTATCATAAGTTGGGAGTGTCTGTATAAATCAGTGGAGCTGTAACGGAGAATCTAAATATAAACATTTTCCTTTCTGCTCAAGAGTTGTTTTTTGGTTTTTGATTTTGTTTTTTTTTCTTGGTGGTACTGGAGTTTGAACTCAGGGCTTCACACTTGCTAGGCAGGCGCTTTACCACATGAGCCACTCCACCAGCCCACTCTGCTCAATAGATTTTTGATGAAGGTGCCAAGACAATTTGATGAGGGAAAGAATATTCTTTTTTTTTTGTTCTTTTTCTTTCTGAGACAATCTTTTTTTTTTTTTTTGTAGTACTGGGTGTTTTGTTTTGTTTTGTACTGAGGTTTGAACTCAGGGGCTCACACTTGCTAGGCAGGCACTCTGCCACTTGAGTCACTCTGCCTGCCCAAATTTTTTGAGACAATCTTGATATGTTCCTAGGATGGTCTTGAACTCAAGGGACTCTTCTGTCACAGCTTTCCAAGTTTCTGGGACTACATGTGTGTACCACACACACCTGACTGTAAAAGATAGGTTTTTAAAAGAATGGTGCTGTGACAATTGAATACTCACATGCCAAAAAAGTGAATTGAGACCCTTAATGTACATGATACACAAAAGTTAACTCTAAATAAATCACACCTAAATGTAAGAGGTGAAGCTATAAAACTTCTAGATAAGATCACAGAAAAACATTTTTTACAAAAACATAAGGAAAAGAGAAAAAAAGTTAAATAGAAAACAAGTAAATTAAGTGGGAGAAAATCTTTGTAACCTTGGGTTAAGCAAGGAACTTAAATATAGCAAAAGCATGCCTGCCAGAAAAAAAAATGGTAAATTAGACTTCACCAAAATTTTAAAAATTTCACTTCAAAGAACACCATTAATGGGAAAAAAAAAAGGGGGGGGGAACAGGAGATGTAGCTCAGTGGTACACAGCATTTGTCTAGCATGAATAGGACCCTAAGTTCAATCCCCAACACTAGACAAACAAAACAAAACAAAACAACAACAAAAAAAAACCCAGCTAACCAAAGACTGGGAGAAAATATTTACATGTTATCTATCTCATTAAGGATTCTGTATCAGAATGTATAAAGAACTCATACACCAATAATAAAGAAAGTCAGGCACCAGTGGCTCACACCTGTAATGCTAGCTACTCAAGGTGGTAGAGATCAGGAGGACCGTGGTTCAAAGCCAGCCCAGGCAAATAGTTCCCAAGACCGTATCTTGAAAACTCCTATCACAAAAAAGGGCTGGTGGAGTAGCTCAAGATGTAGGCCCTGAATTCAAACCCCAGTCCAAAAATTAACTAATTAATTAATCAATTAAAAATAAAGAGAAAATTAAAAATGGGCAAAAGATTTGAATGTCTCAAGTCATACATATGAATGGCTAATAACTACATGAACTGATGCTCAACATCATTAGTGATTACAGAAATGAAAATTAAAAACCCTAAGAATATGCCACCGCATGCCCACTGGAACAGTCATCAAAGAGATAGAAAAGTACTGTGATGATACGGAGAAACAAATTCTTATATATTGTGTTGCTAATGTAAAATGGTTCAGCCACTTTGAAAAACACTGATAATTTCTTTCTTTTGGCAGTACTGGCATTTGAACTCAGGGTCTTGAGTGTGCTAGACAAGTGCTCTACCACTTGAGCCACACTTCCAACCCTTCTCGCTTTTAAGTTATTATTATTATTCTTTTTTAGATAGGGTCTAATGGGGTTTTTTTTGCCCAGGGGAGCCTGGACAGCAATCCTCCTACCTATGACCCTCTCCTCCATAGCTGGGACCACAGCAGCAGGCCAGCACACCCGGCTTAGTGATTGAAATGCAGTCTGTAACTTTTTGCCCAGGTTGGCCTCCCAGTAGCTGAAATAGCAGGTGTGAACCATCACACCCAGCCCAGTTTGGCAATATCTTAAAAAGTTAAACATAGACTTATCATACGATCCAGTAATTCTACTCCTAGGAATTGACCCAAGGGAAATGAAAACATCCATCCATACAAAGACACCTAAAGGACATTCATAGCAGCCTTATTCAAAATAGACAAAAACTGGAAACCCAAATGCCCATCAATACAGTGAAATACTACTTAGCCATAAGAAGGAATTACTGGTACATGCAAACAGATATAGGATAATGACCTTCCAAAAGTACTACGTAAGTGAAAGAGGCCAGAGCAAAGGCCATGTATTGCATGATCCACTCATATGAAATATTCAGAAAAGGCAAGTTTATAGAGACAGCAGATCAGCAATTGTTAAGACTGAAGTTGGGAGCCAGACTGACTGCAAACAGGTAGGAGGGACCTAATTAGATTGATGGAAATGTTCTGTAACTGGATTGTGGTGATGGTTGCACAACTCTACAAATCACCTGTATTGTTTGAAAAAGAAAGAATGGGCCTGGTGCCAATGGCTCGCGTCTGTAATCCTGGCTACCCCGGAGGCAGAAATCAGGAAGATCGCAGTTCAAGGCCAGTTGGGGAGGATAGTTTGGAAGACTCGATGTTGAAAATACCCAACACAGTAAAGGGCTGTAAAGTGGTAGAGCGCCTGTCTAGCAAACGTGAAGCCCTGAGTTCAAGTCCCAGTACCGGAAGGAAGGAAAGAAAAGAGAGAGAACGGTTTAGAAGAATACTAGAATGGGGACCTATTAGAATACTATCCTGGTATTCCAGGAAGAGAAGAGGCAGTGAGGACTTACACAACCTCCGTTTCCAGAATTGCAAGATGGGCATAATAATGCTAGCCCTCTAGGGAGAGGTTGGCAGGAGACGGGGATGTGCAGAAAGTGGGTACTAGTGATGGGGCACAGAGCCCGAGGAGCAGGCATCCCCCTCACCTAAAGTCTAAGCTTCTCTAATGCAGGGAAAAGCCAGAGTTTAGCACTTTGGAGTAAAAAGAATTTGAATGTGGAACTACGGGGTAGTTTAGAACACCATCGGCACCTGTTTGGAAGAAATGGCAAGTATTACAAACCATCAGCCATCCCAGTCTCATTCCCCAGGCTGCTTGCCCCACCACTTTCTCTTCCTTTTTTATAAACTGAAAAGCGCTTTGCAGTCTGAGGTAGTTCATTACATTAAGGTCACTGCAGCACGCGGTGGCTGCCCCCTATAGTCCTGGTTACTCTGGAGGCAGAGATCAGGAACATCGCAGTTCAGGAGAGCCCAGGCGAAAACTCGGCAAGCCCTCATCTCAACCAACAGCTGAACCTAGTGGGGCACGCCTGTCATTCCGGCTACGCTGGAAGTATGAATAGAATCTGTTCGGCCCAGCCCCGCATAAAAACGAGACCCTATTCGAAAAATAGCGAAAGCAAAAAGGGCTGGGGTCGTGGCTCAAGCACTAGAGCTCCCGCTTAGGAAGCTCCAGACCTTCAGTTCAAACTTCAAAAATAAGAAAGGGCATGTAGTTCGGACAAGCCTAGCGCTCTCAGAACCCGAGCGAGAGAAGGACGTCTGGACCAGCTCGCCCAGTCCAGGACTTGGGCTCTCCAGCTTGAATATGGGATCAAATGTAGTACTAGCCGCCGCCTGCAGGGGGCGCCTGTACGCAACGCGTGACCACGCCCCGCCGCTGTCACGCCCCGTCACGTGCCTGCGGCGTGGCGTCACACCCGGAAGCAGCGGCCGGAGCGGAGCCGGCAGCAATGAGCGGGGAGCCAGGGCAGGTGTCCTTAGCGCCCCCTCTCGGGGAGGTCGAACCGGGCAGTGGGGTCCGCATCGTGGTGGAGTACTGGTGAGCGGTTCGGGGTGGAAGGAACCCCTTTGTTGGCCGTGCGGGAGGGAAGTGGGTGCACGGGAGACTCCTCCCCCGGAACTCTAGCCTACCCCACATCTCTTTTCCTTAGTGAACCTTGCGGCTTTGAGGCCACCTACCTGGAGCTGGCGAGTGCCGTGAAGGAGCAGTATCCGGGCATCGAGATTGAGTCGCGCCTGGGAGGGACAGGTGAGATCCGCAGAACACCTGCTGAATCAGTCTGAGGCTAAATCACAGCTCTGCTATTTTCTAACTCTGACATTGGCTGCTACCCAGTCATGCGTGGCACATGGTAAAAATGTCCAACCAACATGACATGAGATCCCTCTTAAAGAGGAGGGGGCCACACAGATGAGGCCTGTAGGGAGAAACCTTAGACTGCTTTAGTGTAATTTTGGCGGGGAGAGAGCCCTTCATTGAGTGATGGACACAGGGTGAGACCTCCTTAGGTTCCTCTGAGTTGACCATGGGCTGAAGAATGACTTAAAGAACAAATTAACCAGCCTGTGGCTTATTGCTATAATCCCAGCTACTTGGGAGGCTGAAATCAGGAGAGGATCACCGTTCCAGGCCAGCCAGGGCAAATAGTTCTTGAGACCGCCTCCTCCCCCCCATCTCCAAAATAACCAGAGCAACATGGACTAGAGGGTGTGGCTCAAGCAATGGAGTGCCTGCTTTACAAAGCAGAAACCCTGAGTTCAAACTCTAATCCCACCCAAAAAAGGGGGGGTGGGGACTACAAAACGAGTATTGGGGCTGGTGGGAGACATGAAGAATCCTGCTTAGGGCCTAAGAAGTGTGGTCACTCCCCTTTGGAGGGCCTCCCCTGACTTCTACCTGTTCCAGCATTCATTCATGTATTTATTTCATACCAGGGGCCTTTGAGATTGAGATCAATGGACAGTTGGTGTTCTCCAAGTTGGAGAATGGAGGCTTTCCTTATGAGAAAGATGTGAGTATTTGGAGCAGTGGGAGGACCCCCTGGGACATCCTTCTCCAGCAGTGCATCCCATCAATCCTATTCTACACCTCTGTCCTCTAGCTCATTGAGGCCATCCGAAGAGCCAGTAATGGAGAACCCCTGCAAAAAATCACCAACAGCCGCCCTCCCTGTGTCATCCTGTGACTGCACGTGACTCTGGGTTACTGCTCTGTTCTGGAGTTCAAGCCTTGGTCCTGCTGGGAACTCTCTCTGCCTCTTTCCCCTCACTTAAGCTCCTGTTAGCTAAGAGACCCTAGCTTCCACTTTGCCCCTTTGGGCACAAGGATGGAACAGAAACATCTAGTCTTGGTGGTTGAAAAGAGACACTCTCTATGGACATTCCCACAGCCACCTCATACCCCATCCACAAAGGATAAGTGCCCACAAAAGCTCAGTCCCCTCCCCAGCTTGGCATTACCTGTCAGATGCCACAGTAGATCTAATTTATTTCCCCCTGAGCCCTAGGTGATGTCAGCTGTTGGCAGTACAAAGGCACTACAATCACTTGTGCCAACTAGTGTATGTTTATGTCTAGCCTGGGAGTGTGGAGGGCAGGAGTCATGCCAGCCTCCATGCCACCTGGTGGGTGGGCTTTTTCTAGACAGCTGCTTAGGTTCAGGGAGCTTCTTTCTTAGCCAAGGCAAGGAAAATGAGTCATGTAATAGACAGTGCCTCTTCTCCCCCCTCCATATCCCTGACTCCCCTTCTACATAGGGAGGAAATGACCCCATCTGGCGGGTGGCCTTAGGAATGAGTTTGTTCAAGCAAAAATAACCCAGTTGTCAAAGGGCCCTCAGGTGGAAATCCTAACATTCAAACCCAAGGAACTGGAAATTGGGCTCCTCATTCAGGCTTTTGGAAGAGGACTGAGTTTAAGGTGAGCAGTAAGGTCTGGCCCAGACACAGGATGGGGCCCAGCTGTTTTCCAAAATCTATTTGCAAATGGAGAAAATGGATGTGAAGAGGGACATCCCTCCCCAACCCGAGACACACCCCCTTTCCACACAACAACCACTCTCCCTCTGGGTCCTTATTTCATCTTTAAAAAATAAAAACAAGTAAAAACAAAACAAAAAAAGCACTCTGTACAAGGATTGGTCTGGACACTCGTGCAACTACCTTCCTCCTGGGGTGCACACTGGGTGTCAGGCACAGTCTGCTAATGGGTTGTCCTCATTCTCAGACAGTCCCTTGGGCCCCTTTGTAGGCCCAGCTTTCCTCAGTCATTTAGAGCTCAAGGTTTGGAAGAAGAGGGCCAGGCCTGGCCGAAGCCTCAGGAGAGCGTAGCTCTGGCATCCACTAGACCCTAGAGTCTGGTGGGACAGGGCTCTGAAGTCCACCAAGACTGCCTAATGCACCCCCTCTTCCAACCAGACTGGACCCTTCTCAGCTGCCTGTCTTAGCCAGGAAGGAAGGTTCTGCAGGATAGGTTTATGGCATGGCATGGCATGGCATGCTCCTCTCAGTGTGGTCAGAGAGCCGTATCCCAGCCTTGGTGTGACATGGGCTAGAAGTCAGGCCTTCCCCAACTGCAAGGGTATAGCAGGGGCTCAGCAGACTTGGCTTCTGGCTCACACTGGAACGTCCAGGCCCAGGTACTCAGGGTTCTCTGCCGTGGGGGTCCCTTCAAAGGTGCTGGGTGGAGATGCCCGCTCTGATGGGTCCTGGTCCCAGTAATAGAGATTGTCAAAGGCTGGGCTGAAGGTAGGAGGTGGGTGGGGCTGAGGGGCAGTGCCTCCCCTAGGTGCTAAATACTCAGGGTTCTCTATAGCACCCCCAAAGGCAAAAACGTCTTTGACAACTCCATTCTTCCCCGGGGAGAGAGTCTTGGGCCTTTCCAGAGTGGCACCAGCAGGCCGAACAGGAGACAGAGGACCCTCCAGGGGTGAGGCGGGCTGCGACCGAACCTCTGGCTGGTTCACATATTCTAAAAAGGCAATGGGAGAATTTGTTAGGGAAAGGAACCTGGATGTCCCTGCCATTACTACTGCCTCTACAGTGGCCTTGACCTAAAGGTTCCCAAGTCCCCTGCCTCCCAGTCTCTTAGCTCAGGACTGAATTCCATACCGGGCTGGAGGCTGCAGGTGAGGGGAGCAACATAGCCGTCAGTCTCAGGGGGCAGGGGTACAGTGGGGTCCTCACTGTACCGCTGTAGAGGGCTGAGGTCATGTTGAGGGAGGCTCTGCAGCCCCTTAGCTGCCCCCACTCCGAGGTCACCATCAAACACATCAGAGCCAGCCCCTTCTGAGGGGGCCAGCGGAGACCTGGGGGGATCCTCTTCAGAGGGCTCCAGCCCCAGTGTCAGCTCACCACCTCCACTCTGGGGACAAGAGAGAAAGTAATAGGAGTCACTCATGGGTCTGGGAGGGGGATTGCATGGGAGGTGACCTTCGGGGTATGACAGTCACAGTGGAAAGAAAGGAATCACAGGAGTTGGGAAGCAGCAAGAATCCTCCTTAGGCATAATGGAGTCTCCATGAGAGGTGAAAGAGCATCAAAGAAAGGGATCCTAGCCAGGCACTGGTGGCTCACACCTATAATCCTACCTACTCAGGAGGATTACAGTTCAAAGCCACCCCAGGCAAACAGTTTGAGAGACTCTTGTCTTGAAAAACCCATCACAAAAAGGGCTGGTTGAGTGGCTCATGGTGTAGGCCCTGAGTTCAAACCCCAGTACCACAAAAAGAAAAAGGGGGACCCTAGAGCATTGGGGTAGGAGAAGTAAGCAAACAGCCACCACAGTGTGACTGAGGGCACTGACCCTGGTGGATGAGCTTCGATGTCTGCGGTGTGTGGTGCCCCCAGCACCTGGGGCAGGGTCTGGGCAGAAGAAACCCTGCTGTGGTACCAGATACTCCTCAGCATCCACCAGGTCCCCCATGTCGTCATCCTCCAGCAGTGAGCGGTAGAAGGTACTGTCCAAGGGACTGGCTGGGCCCAAGTCTTCATTCTAGAAAAGGAGATGCAGGTGGGAGATAACAGTCCAGCATGCAGCCTCCTGAAAAAGGCTCACAGGGACCAGAGGTGGGGCTGGGCATGGGGGCCTGGAACCCAGGCATCCTCTTCCCAGGACCCTTGTGGCGGGGGGTATACTTAGAGGCAGGGATGGAGTGGGTAGGCCTAGTACCTGGATGACCACAAAGCGCTGGGGGTCTCTGGCCATGCGGGAGAATTCAGCCACCAGCTCCCGGAATCTTGGCCGACATTCGGAGTCAATCATCCAACCTGGGGCAAGACAGAGCTCAGCACCCAGGTCCTGTCCCCTCCTTTCCCTCTCTAGTCTGACCTAGGCAACTTCAACTCAAATCCAGAGCCCTCACGTGATAGAGAAACAGATCCAGACTCTGGGGTCTTGAGCTGGAACCTTGAGGCATTTCTCCTAGTCCCCCTCCCTGCGTTTTTAATACTGTTACAGTCTCTTCCTCTAGAGCAGCTCAGGACTCTTACTGTGAAGGACAGACAGGTACTTCTGAGGCCCTTTTCAACGTACCAGGACCTCTGGGACCATTCATGGCCTGCTCTTAGTTCCCGCCCCTGCCCTGCCCTCCACCCAGGCCCTCCCACCCCCACCACAGCATGCTCAGCCCCACCACGAACATTTGACCATGATCATATAGACGTCAATGGTGCAGATGGGGGGCTGGGGCAGGCGCTCCCCCTTCTCCAGCAGGTCAGGGATCTCCCGGGCTGGGATCCCATCATAGGGTTTGGCCCCAAAAGTCATCAGCTCCCACACAGTCACACCTAGGACAGACAAACATCAGGAATAGGGGGCCATAGGGAGCTCTGGTGTATGAAGCAGAGCCTGGAGCCATGGTAGGGGCAGGAAGTCTTTCCCAGTCCCTGGATGGACAGACCCTACAGGATGGGCACAGGCAAGCCCTTCCCCTCCTTTCCCTATTCCCACTCACCTGCCCCTACCCTGCCATGGCTCCTGGTCTAACCCTCCCCACCATCCCCACCACGTACCATAGCTCCATACGTCGCTCTGGTGGGTGAACCGCCGGCGAAGGATGGACTCCAATGCCATCCACTTGATGGGCACCTGGGAGAGCAAAGAAAAAAGTGGGGTAGGTGGGGTGGAGAAGGTAGCCCTTCTCAGAATTCCCCAGGGGACAGACCCCACTCCATCCTGCCCGCTCTGATCCTTCCTCTGACCTTGCCCCCATCCGCGTGGTACTCTGTCTCATCGATGTCCAGCAGCCGAGCCAACCCAAAGTCTGTAATCTTGACGTGGTTGGGGCTTTTGACCAGCACATTCCGGGCAGCTAGGTCCCTGTGCACGAGCCGCACATCCTCCAAGTAGCTCATCCCCTGGAATGGGAGGGAGGTGCCTGCGTGGACCTTGGGGCTGGGCCTCGCCCTGGCCACACTCCCAAGAAACATCTCATGCTAGCCCTATGTGACGACAAAGACTTGCTCGCAAGGGACCTCCTGAGCCCAGGTCCTCCGAAGTATATACCTTGGCTATCTGCACACACCAGTTGAGCAGGTCCTGGGAGCCCAGCCGCCCTCGGTGTTCTCGGACATGATCCAGGAGGCAGCCATAGGGCATAAGTTGTGTCACCAGCTGCACTGTAGATGTCAGGCAGATGCCCAGGAGGCGGGACACATATGGGGAGCCAACACCAGCCATCACGTAGGCTTCCTGGGGGGAGGGTACATTAAGAGGGTGTGGTAGACAACAAACTCCCAACCCCCATGCTCCCCTCCCGAGAGGCCATGATCGGAGACCCTCACACCCCTCCATCTCACCCATCCATCATAAACCACAGCTAGGGCTTGCAGACTGGGGCAGCTGAAAGTCAGGTTTAGGAGATCCTGTCTTCCCAAGACCCAGTAAAGACAGCAGCCCAGGCCTGCAGTCAGTTGGTCCCTCAGGACTCCCAACAGGAGAGGGTGGTGGGCTTACATCCAGGATTTCTTTGTTGGCTTTGGGGGATGTATTCTCCCTCAACACTTTGATGGCCACAGGAATTTTCACATTTTCCCCGTCAGGTATCCAGATACCCTGAGCAGAAAGAGGATGTGAGCAAGGAGTGTGGGTCAGACCCAACCTCCAACACCAGGTTATTCCTTGTGCTCATTCTTGTGCCTGAGATAATACCCTTCGCCCACCCTCCAACTTGGCCCCCTCTCCTCCCAAACAGCTTGGCCAGACTCTTCTTTTTTTGGCAGTACTGGGGTTTGAACTCAGGACCTCACAATTGCCAGGCAGGTACTTTTACTGCTTGAGCTACTCCACCAGCCCTTTGCCAAACTTGATCACCCCCCACCCCACCCCACCCCCTTCCCCCCCACCAGATCTGCCCACCTCAGGTCTGGCCCTGCCCCTGACCTTGTAGACTGTGCCAAAAGCTCCAGATCCAAGCACCTTCACCTTCCTTAGCTCAGTCTCTTTCAGGATCCGCATCTGAGCCTGGTTAGGCATCGCTCCACTGGGTGTCAATGGCTCCACCAACTGGGGTGAGGGCGTGGTGGATCAGTGCCAGGTGAGCAGCAGACCCCCAGCTGGCTGGGAAGCCCTCTTCCCGCCTCACCTCAGTTTCCTGCAGCAGCCTCCGCATTGTATACTTCCGGATCTTCTGGCGCCTTCGCTTGATTACAATCCCTAAGACCACTCCCACGACTGTGAACAACAGAATGCCCACCACAGTAGCGATGATGGATGTCACAGGGCTAGGGGCAGGAGACAAGATCAGGAATTGGGGGCCAGTCTGGGACAAGGGGTTCAAAGGGACATGGAAGTACATAAAAGCACTTGGAACGGGAAATGGAAGGATGACCGCAGGCTCTGACCCTTTCTTCCCTACTCTAAAACCTGCCTTGGCAAACTACTGCTTCTACAACAAAGTCCAAACTACTTGCAACCATGCACACAGTCCCAGACATCCACATCTCCAAATTCTCTGTGCTCTCTTTCACCCTTGGCTCTAGCTCAGGGCTCTAAAACTTCCTGGCATAAAACTCACCAAGGAGCTTCACCCCCAGAGATCCTGATGACTGCATGGGCGGGGCCCAAAGAATGTGTGTCCAGAAATTCTGATGGTCTAGCCAAAGTTTCTACCCACAAGTCTTGATTCCCCACACCTCCCAGCCTTTGCACATGGTGTTCCTGCTGCCAGAACTATTTTTCTCCATGGGGTCATCTTTTAAGACTCAGTTCATCCTGGGATAGATGGATCTCCTGGGTATAAACTAGAAATTTTTTGGTTTTTTGAGAAAGGGTCTGGAAATGTAGCCCAGATTAGCCTGGAACTCAAGATCCTTCTGCCTCATCCTCCTGAGTGCTGGGATTACAGACATATGCCACCCTGCCACCTAACATTCTTGTCATCCTTGTCACCTCCTATCCTGTCCTATCCACCCCACCCCTTTCTTTGGCTCAGCAATAGCACAGTGAATGTTTGTTTCATGGAAAAATGATTGCCTAAGCCATACTCTGGTTTGTTTTCTCCTTTCCAAAGCTCCCCACTGCCAGACAATCATGTCCTATGGCTTGGTGATCAAGACGTCTGCCTTTCAGATCTGGCTTTCATCTGCCTATGCCCTCTCCCCTTCTCCTGTCTCTATGCATAAAACAGCCCACCAGAGCCTCTGACCACCTGGATTGGCCCGATACCACCTCCCCTTCCACCTGAGTGCAAGAGAAGTACCTGCACCCCCTGCAGGAAGCCTCCCACCATCATGGTTAGAATTTTCCGACCCTGTCAGGCATGGTGGCGCACACCTGTAATCCCAACACTTGGGAAGCTGAGATGGGAGGATTGCAAGTGTGAGGCCAGCCTGGGCTACAGGGTGAAACTCTGTCTCATAAGAAAGAACTCCCCAGACCCTCCTGAGTGACACTGCTGCAATCTGCTTGGGGAGTTGAACTTGACCTGTGTCCCTCCAGAGACATCTAGCTACTCCAGGGTGGGAGGTGCTGGATGTGCTGGCCACCTTTCCCTGCCACACCCACCCCTAGCATCCTGAGCAGGTTCTCCATCCACTTGTTGAAGCAAATTGAAAGGAGGATCAACACTGAAAGAATGGCCTGGGAAGTAAGGGTGGCAAGTCAGGTGTCCCATCTGTGGCAGGGGAGGAAGTAAGGGGCAACAGAGGCACCTCCCGGGGCCCAGGCCCACCTGGCTCTCTGCTCCGCAGGGCAGCCTTTGTCATCCAGGTCCACGCAGCTAAAGAAGAGAAAGTCCCATCAACAACCCTAGGAACAGCCTCCTCGAGAGGGTGTGGCTGAGTTATAACCCCCATTTTGACAAAGGCAGAAATTGGGCTCAGGTCACCAATATTCTGTCTACCAGCCCACAAGGGGATTCCTTCTCCAGTCAGGAAATCTCTCTCCTACACCCCTGCACTTAAACTGACAGGAGCAGGGAAGCACCCCCACAGAGCATCAAGTCTGAAAGCTCAGCTCTTCCCTCCATAAAAGAATCCTGGGGTACACCGACCAATCTCTACTGAAGAGAGTATGGCGATCCATCTTTCACAATGTGGGGATGAGGCTCAGTGGCACAGTGGTGCTTAGCTTGTGCGAGACCCTGGGTTCCATCCCCAGCACCAACCAGTCAATTAATAAAATACACCCATGAGCCTGCAGTTCCACCTCAGTATACACTCTGAAAATACCAACACCAGTACAGTAAGGGTATGCACAGGATTCTCCCTTGTGCATGGAGCTGAATTGCAATAATCTGTAAAAATAACAACAAAAAACTCAGTATTTCTCAAACATCTACACTACAGATTAAGAAGTTAAAAAAAAAAGTAGAGGGCAAAGCAATAGTGCAGAACAATATACAAGTATAATCCCACTTATATTAAGAAATGTACACAACTGGGGGCATGGCTTAAGTGGTAGAGCACCTGCCTAGCAAGCACAAGGCCCTGAGTTCAAACTCTAGCACTGCTGAAAAGAAAAAAGAAAAAGAAGGAAGGAAGAAAGAAAGACACACACAAAAAATACAGATCTGGCTGGGAGCCGGTGGGTCACCCCCGTAATCCTAGCAATTTGGGAGGCAGAGATCAGGAGAATCACGCTTCTGAAGCCAGCTGAAGCAAACAGTTTTCAAGATCCTATCTTGAAAACACCCAACACAAAACAGGACTGGCAGAATGGCTTAAGTGGTAGAGCACCTGCCTAGCAACATGAGACCCTAAGTTCAAACCCCAGTGCTGCCAAAAAAGAAAAAGAAAGAAAAATACCTATAGTGAAACGGTTTGGGGGTGGGGGGGAATGAGTCAAATGGTAGAGCACCTGCCTAGTAAGTGCAGGGCCCTGAGTTCAAACCCCAGTACCACAAAACCCAAAACAAAACAACAAAAAACTTCATCTGATTATAAATTAAGAAATTTCTAGCCGGGCACCAGTGGCTCAGGCCTATAATCCCAACTACTCAGGAGGCAGAGATCAGGAAGATGAGGATCGAAGTTTGAAGCCACAGCCCAGGCAAAGAGTTCACCGGACCCTATCACGAAAAAACCCACAAAAAAAGGCTGGTAGAATAATTCAAGGTGTAGGCCCTGAGTTCAGACCCCAGTACTGCAAAAAGAAAAGAAAAAAAAAATTTCTATTTTCTGGCCATTTTTGACTTACACAAACAGCAATCTTACATGACTCAACCTAGTGCAAATGTAGTACCCATAAGTGCATGAGAAAGCCGCAAAGGGTGCATGCACCCAAGTCCATCCCGTAGTTCTCCCCAGGGAAAGGAGCTGGGAGGAGAGCAGTCAAGTGAAGTCCACGTTTGGCACATGAAGAAAAATTGCAAGATTCTTTTAAGTGAATAAAAAAAAACACTTTGGAAATAACAGTCTATGATCCTATTGGGATGAAAAGGAATGTACGTTGGAACGTGCTCAGGTAAGTAGGCTGCGGATGTAGCTTAGTGGTAGAGCACTTCTCTAGCTCGTGCCAGGTCCTGGGTTCTATCCCCAGCATGGCCCAAATGGAGGGAAAATATTCTAAATTATTTAAAGTAGGAGAGAAGTGCTAGAAATACTTACATATCTTCAATGTGTTAATTTTTTTAATGTGCTGTTTTTGTGATTAGAAAAAAGATGAGGGGCTCTCAGAGTGGTTCAAATGGCAGAAAGCCTGCCTAGCAAGCATGAGGCCAATTCAAACCCCAGTGCCACACACACAAAAAAGAAAGAAAAAAAGAAAGAAAAAAGATGAAAATGGCTACTCATGCCTATTATTCCAGCCACTTGGGAGACAGAGATAGTAGGATCACAGTTAAAGGCCAATCTGGGCAAAAAGTTAGTGAGGCCCTATTGCAAAGAACAAGCATGTGCGGTGGTACATGTGTGTAATCCCAGTTACACAGGAGGCAGAAGTAGGAGGATAATGATCTTAGGCCACTGGGAGCAGAGCAGGAAGGACTGTGTATAGACTATGAGACCTTATCTGAAAAATAACTAAAGCAAAAAGGCTGGAGGTGTGGCCCAAGTGGTAGAGATGGCCCTGAGTTCACACCCCAGTACCACCAAAACAAGGGAGGGAAGAAGGAAGGGAGGAAGGGAGGGAGGGAAAAGAAAGAAAAATTAAGTCTCAGGGTAGATTGTCCCCCTTTTACAATAAGAGCCCCAGAGAAGCTCCTGCAATGAAAGCACTCCTTTCTTCAGAAAACACCCCAGACTCACGAGTGGGTGCAGTTGATGGGGCACGGCTGGCATATGCCCTCCTCATCTGGGTACTTCCAGATGGGCATGTAAGAGAGGTCAGGTTTCACACCACTGGGGCAGCGAGCCACACAGAAGGGAGGGTCCTTGTAGTGGGCACAGGCTTCACACTGGTCAGCCTCCTGGGTGGAGAAGGAGGATTTGTAGGGGTGGCACTAACCCCCCAGGGGCAGAAGGGACAGGCCCTGGGATCCCTGACCACTGAGCAGCACTGTCTCCCTACTTAGTTTCTGTGCTTCTCCCTGCAACCCTCCTTCAACAGGAGCTTCTGACAAGGAACTGGAGGTGCCCAGAGAGGGACGTGCATTCTCTAAGGTGTACCAGCAAGTAACAACAATAACTATCACACACAAAGCCTTTCCAGTGCTCAGGCACGGCGCCAAGCCCTAATCAACTTTGTTCTCACCACACCCAACAAGGTGGGTACGGTTACATCACTCAGAGCATAAATGTGACAACTGAGGTTGGAGCAGGGCCCTGGATTTGAACCCAGGTGGGCTGACACCTTAGCCCAAAGGTCCAACCTCTTTGCGCAGTCACAGCCAAGAATACAGGTCTCCTTGGGAACTTGTCACAGTCTGGAGGGACAGCCCCACGGTCCCAACCTCCCTCTCTTTCCACCCTCCTGCTGTCCAGGGCTGAGCCTGAAGCCCTCTCCAGGGATATTTTATCAGACTTAACACACCCTGCAGCAACCTGCCAGGTCCCTGGCACCCGCCACCCTTCCCCTGTCAACTCTGAGTCCACCAGCACCTCACCGATCCAAAGCAAGTCACTGAGTCATTCTGGGGCTGACACTCGGGGTGACATGGCAGACAGTGCCTGTCACTCACATACTCCCTGGGAAACCTGAGAGAAGGGGTTGGTGGTGAGGGATCTGGGAGGAGTCCTGGACACCCCTCCAGCCATCCCATCCCCTTCTCCGCCCCCACATACCCCTTCAGGACTCGACATTCCTCCACACACTCCTGGCCCCGAAGGAACTGGCTGCAGTTGACACACTGGGTGGGTCCCGGCCCCCAGCAGTGCCCATGGGCGCACAGTGGGCAGCAGGCCAGGCCCTCGCCCACTGCAATGAGGAAGGGGCCAGAGGGCTCTCAGGGTAGGTCCCAGGTCCAAGTGAAAAAGGGGAAGGGGCTGTGAGCAGGGCTCTGGGCTGGATGGGGCAGGGACTGATGCTGGGCAGTGCAGGGAGAATCCTGGGATTGTAGAGTCAGGGAAGGGAAGGGAAGGGAAGGGAAGGGAAGGGAAGGGAAGGGAAGGGAAGGGAAGGGAAGGGAAGGGAACGGTGCCAACAGAGCATGGAAGACCCCAGCTGCAAGTCATGCCAAGAGGTCACACCAGCCAAAGCCAAATCAAGAACAGGACAGGCAGTATGCACAGGCCCCAGAACACTGCTGCCAGGACCCCGTGGGCACTCCTGCACACTGGCCCTCAGTGCTGGGCTCCTCGTCTTACCACACTCATCCTCTGGCCGGTTGCCATGCTGGAACAGGGCCTGATGGGGGTTCCGGAAGAGTTGCTCCCAGGGTACCGTGTGTACGAAGCAGAGGTGCGTATTGCGATGGATGAGGACCAGCCCGCTGCCTAGCTCCCGCAGCGAGCGCAGTCCCAGCCAGTGGATGCCCAGGCCTTGCAGGGTCAGTGAGTAGGCGCCACTGTAGGAGGGGCGTGCTCAGCTACAGGGGGCACTGTATGTAGCCTGGGCCAGATCCCAGTTGGGGAGGGCTGCCCACCCTTTCCTTCTGACCCAGCACACTCTGCAAATGCTCATGCAAAGGCTACCAAGGTGTCCCGAGGGTGCAGGGTACCCAGCAAATCCAGGGCTTCCCATCCCCACCAACCCCCCTCTCCTGATGCTCACTCGTGCAGAAGACGTCCCCGGATGACTCTCAGGTTCTGGAAGACACTGAGGTCAAGCAGGCTGTCTGGCCACGCTGAGATGTACAGGTAACCTGCAGACAAAGGATGAGGCTGGAGAGTGGACACAGGGCCAGGTCTCCCAGCCCCTTTGGAGCAGGACACGGAGAAGCAGAGCCCACCTGTGATCTCCTCCAGGCTCTCAAACACTTGGAGCTGCTCAGGCTTCAGGGGGGCAGTGTTGGAGGCAGGGTCCCTGGAAGGATCAGGAGGAATCAGCAGGGTCAGGAAGGAAATGGTCATGACCCCCAGAGAGGGCCCTGCCACCTCACTCCCCACCTCCCATTGCTGCCTTCACTCAAACCCTTTGCCCATCAAACCCAGCTGTGCCTAATTTGGCAGGATCTATCAAAATAGTATTTGTATCCTGTGATCTAGAAATCTTCTAGGAATGTACCCTAGACTGCCAGGCACCGTACTAAGAATATTCCAAGTTTTAACTCATTCAAAATTTGTAAGGCTAGAGTTATTAGACACTATTTCACAGAGGAGGAGGGCAGTAAGACTTGTAAGTGGTAGAGCCTTGTTTCAAACCCAGTCTGGCTCCAAAGTCTTTGCTGCTACCTGCTCTGTACCTGGTAAGAGAGCAAAGCAACTTGATATGAAATGTCATAACCAGCCCTCCAAGGAAAGGGGCCCACACACACTCCTGTTCACGTAAACCAAACTAACCCAGTTTCTCTTGTGTGTGTGTTTACGAATGTACAAACAGGTATAGTGACTCAGGTCTGTAATCCCAGCTACTTGGTAGGCAGAGATTGGAAGGATCGAAGTTTGAGGGCAGACAGGGCAAATAGTTTTCAAGACCCCATCTCAATCCATGGATGGGCACGGTGGTGCATACCTGTCATCCCAGCTACACAAGGAAAAGTAAAATAGGAGGATATCAGTCCACACCAGCCCTGGGCATAAAGACTTTATTTCAAAATGAACCAATACAGCCAGGCACCAGTGACTCATGTCTATAATCCTAGCTACTCAGGAGGCAGACATCAGAAGGATTGAGGTTCGAAGCTAGCCCCAGGCAAATAGTTTGTGAGACCCTATTTTGAAAATACCCAACACAAAACAGGGCTGCTGGAGTGGCTCAAATGGTAAAGTGCCTGCCTAGTAAGTGTGAGACCCTAAGTTCAAACCCCAGTGCTACCAAAAAAAAAAAAAAAAAAAGGCACAGATAAACACATTGAAACTGTTAACACCCACTCTGGGAAGGGCAGCAGAGGTAAAGGAAGTATTGAGAGAACTTTTCTTCTTTTTTAGTACATTTTTAAAGCTGAAGTATAGTTTATATAACACAGTAAAACACAGATTTTTAATGTATAGTGATGACTTTGGAGAAGTGCACTCATGTGTAACCCAATGGACACAGAGAACATTTCCACCACCCCAGAAACTTCCCTGTGTCCCCTCCCAGGCCAGGGCAACCACTGACTGATAGGAAATTTCTCTCATTGTAGAGTAGATTTTTCTTTTCAGAGCCTCACACAAATGGAATTATGACTCTCCATATGATTCTGGCTTCTTTGTTTGTTTGTTGTTTGAGACAGAATCTCACTATGTAATCCAGGCTGGCCTTAAACTCCCAATTCTCTTGCCTTAGATTCCTGAGTGCTGGGATTATAGGCGTGGGCTAGCACCTGGCCTTTGATTTTGGCTCCACCTAATAGTTTTGAGATTCATTCACATTGTATGTACTAGGTGTTCATTTCTTTTTGTTGCTGAGCAGAACTACATTTGTGTAGCTATGACCTACTGCTGTACCCAGGGGTCGTTCCCAATTTGAGGCTAATATGAGTAAAGCTGCTATGACCTCCAGGGGAATTTTACTTTATCTGCATGATTTGATCTCCACACAAGTCTGTGTTCATGGATAGCATCTCATTTATAAAAGTAGCCCTTCAATCCCAGTTTCTTCTGGTCTCTTCCCGCGTTCCTGTCCTCCCACCTGTCTCTACCACCCCCCAAGAGATACTGCTGCCATATCTGGGTCGTCACGATTTGGCTTCCACCCTGATACTGCCTCAGGTCATCGTGCCTACTCCTACCCATCAAAGCTCTCCGGCAAAAACGCTAGGCTCCCAAAGATCTTCTTGCAGCCAGCGAACTCCTGGATGTTAGCACTGGTGACTGCCCTCGCCGCCCGCAGGTGCTCCATTCCCAGACCGTAGCACACTGTAGGAAAGGGAGCAGGCAATACCGGGGCCATCGCCACCCTACACAGAGCACCAAGGTCCTGCATCCCCTCCTGGGACCACACTAACAGGTGATACAGAGGAACTTGGGGAACTGGTCTAGAGTGGCCAGGTCAACAGAGATAATGGAAGAAAAGGACTGGGACCAAGGAGTAGTGGGACAGAGTGGGCTGAACTGGGCTGTGTGTGCACAGGGACGGGCTGCAGCTGGTACCTCGGGCACAGGGTTTGCTGCATTTTTCACACCGCTGTGTTCCGTCCTCTGCTGACACCTCCTGGTTGTTCGGGGGGCAGATCAGGGTGCAGGAGCCCACGTCCGTAGAGAGGTAGTTGTCTACAGAGATCAGGAACACATGCCCATGCTCCCTGGCCCTTCACACCCCACTATAAGCGGCATTAACAAGATTATACAGAAGAAGACTAGCAACCAGTACTTAGATGCCTTCCTATGTGTCTGAAACTAGATGTTCATTTGCTCCTCACAACGCCCACATGTGATCAGCACTGCTGAACTTGCATGTTGCAAAAACAGAAACCAAAGTACAGTTCTGTGAATTATTCCAGGTTATTTTGTTAGTAAGCAGAAGAGCCAAGATTTGAACCCAAATGGTTTGGCTTTCTACCTTGTCCTCTCACCCACCACGAAGGTGTGACCAGGACCTAATGACTCACTCTGAGGAAGAAAGAGGCTCCCCCAGTCCTAAGCATCCATCAGTGAAAAGGGGTGTTCCTTTAAACCCTGCTCTATGCAGACTGTAGATTAGTGTGAGCACGTCAGGAGCATTCCGTGTACACTAGCACTGTTCTAAAGGCTTGGCAAACATTAAGTGAGTCAGTCATTATACCCATCTTATGAGGCTGGGACTATTATTTTACCCCCATTTAGCAGATGAGGAAACTGAGGCATAGTAAGAAAGCAGTAAGACTATTATGCAGCAGAGCCAAGTTTTAAACCCAGTAGTTTGGCTCCCAAGTCTGGGCTTTCAGCTGCTTGCCTGTCTTTACCGCCACCTGCCCCATAGTTGTTAAAGAGAATGAGGCAGCTTGTCACAAACTGTCAATACCAGGCCTCCAAAGCAAGGGCACACAGTAACTCACAATATGCCTCTGTTTACATAAACCATCCTCCCCAGACCATTAAAACGATGCTTTTATCTCTGGCACTCACAGGGACAGGTGGTCACACAGCTGGCTCCAAAGGTGTAACGGCCCTCAGGGTTGGGCACAGATTCGAAGGTATCAGTGTTGTAGGTGACCAGGGATGGGCAGTGCAGCTCACAGATGCCACTGTGGTTGAAGTGGAGGCAGGCCTGGCAGGGACAGGAATAGGTCTTGCTTATTATTACTAGGCTGGTTTTCCATGGTGTGCCAGGAGCAACAGCACAGTACCAGGTGAGGTGCCCATCCCTTACACCCTGGAGAGTAGGGCTCAGTGGGTACAGGGCAGAGAGGCACATACCAGGCAGTCAGAGTGCTTGGGGCCTGTGCAACCAGCAGCACACTGCTCGTGGCAGCAGTCAGTGGGCAGCTGGCCCTTGCAGCGGGCACAGCCACTGGCACAGATGGTGCCAGTCACTGTCAGGAAAAAGACAAGGTGAGGGCTGGGCAGGGTCTGGGCACAGACTCTCACCAGCATCACCTTATAGGGAATTTCTTGCCCCAGGGAAGTTACCACCAGCCTGTTATCTCACCCCTCCCATGTCACCTGTTGTCCACCTGCCCTGCCTCCTCTCCCCCCCCACACTCTGGGCCTCCTTCAGACTCACAGATCTGACAGTCTGCAGAACTTTCTCCCCAGCAATGGTTGTCTTTACAAGAGTTGGCACAGGGTGGGCCTGGGGACAGAGGAAGGCAGTGAGAGGTGGATGGCAGCAAGGTGAGTGAGTTAATGAGAGACACATGGTCACAGAGACAAGCAGCAAGATGCCTAGCCCAGCAAGGGAGAGACCCAGAAGGAAAAAGACACCTCCAACACAGGAGGCTGTTCACAAGCACAGGGAGAAACTCACAGAAGAGACACAGAGATGGCAGGAGGGAATGAGAAACAGGAAGCAGGTAGCAGGTAGTCAGCAGCTGGTTGGGTGGGGCGGGGGGGTGACAGTGGTGGGGGGGGGTGGCTGTCAGAGAAACAAGCAGGGACAGGGCTTACAGGCCCGAGAGTGGCTGGTGTCGATCATGGTGAGAGCCAGCTGATTGTTCTTGTGGAAGATGTCCTTCCACAAAATCGTGTCCTGGTAGCAGAGCTGGGGGTTCCGCTGGATCAAGACCCCTCCCTTCAGGATCTCTGCAGTGAGAGCAATCATCAGGAGAGTCTTTTCCTGTTGGCCACCTCCTCTCCTCCCTCAGTGCCTAACAACCCTGGCCTCCCCACAGCAGGGAGGAATTTGCAACCTCCCCTGACCATGTGAACAACCCAAGAGGAGCAGAGCAAGTCGTCCACAACAGGGTCCAGACATTTGTCCAACTCCCTATTTGCCTTTCTCCTCACCCTGCACCTGCACCTTTTGAAGGTTAAAAGAGACGCTGTGGGTCTGGGGATGGAGCTCAGTAAGCGAACAAGTGCTCAGCACTGTTCTAGGCCCCGGGTTTGATTCCCAGCACCACAAATAGATAAATAAATAAATAGAGGCTTTTAAAGTCTGAAATCCAGCTCACATCATTTGTCCCCTGCAAACCTCAGTTTTCTCATCTGTAAAATGAGAATAACACTGAAGGATTAGTAGCAAGACTTACAGGATTATAGCTTGATTAAATGGGATCCTGCATACAAAATGCCTGGTACCCAGAAGTTGGGACCCTGCCAACTCCAGGGCCACCACATACAGTTTCATAGGTTGTTAACTGCATACTTGGGGACAAAAACCCAGCCTGCCATTCTGATGAGCATATTGGTGAAAACTACAACTTCTAGAAGGAGGGGAATCGTGAGTACCTCCTAGGCAAGCACTGAGCTCCACCCCCCAGAGTGTCCCCCTGGGGGACTCGGTGTCCAGTCAGTGGCAACACCACTTCCAGTTCACACAGAGCCTCCACAGCTAGCAGTGGCCCTGGTCAGTTCTCAGTAACCAAGAGAAGAAGGTTGCAATGATGTGACAGCCACCTGTGAGGCTTCGAAGCTGAAGCTCCCGCAGCCCTCCTGGGGCAGTCCCTGGGGCAGGGGTGGCATCGTGCAGAGGATCTCCATTGTCTAGCACAGCCAGGGCATACTTGTCCTCAAAGAGCTGGGTCCCTCGCACGATCCGCAGTCTCTGCAGTGGGACCTGCCTCACTTGGTTGTGAGCCACCAGCATGTAGCCCTGCACCTCCTGAATGTCCTGGGAGGAAGGACAGGGGGTAGGCGTGAGGCGGAGCTGGGCCTTGGAGCATTCCCACCCTCCAAGGCCTCCGGCTGTGACCCAGTGCTAGGCCCCCAGCCACTAAGCAGTCCAGCTCTTCCTTGCCTCACCAGATTCTTGTGTGATCAAGAAAGATAAAGATGGGGGGAGCATTTTGTAAGTAGTGAGCAAGTGCCCCGCCCTCAAGCATCTCGATTTCTTCATGAGGAAAAGGAAAAGACAAGATGGTGCCTGCAATCTGAGGGACCAAGCAACACACACATGGCCCCACTCCAAGACCCATGGATGCAGCTCAGTGGGCTGCTCGGTGGGCTGCACTCCTTTCTCTCCTGCTCAGAACCTTCCCACTGATCATTTGTCTTGTGACTTTCACAATGGGTGTGCCAGGATGCCTGCTGGTCCCAATACAGATAGGGAAGCCAAAACCCAATGACACTCACATCCTCATGGCTGGTAGTGGCAGAGCTTAACCTGGAACTCACATCTCCACCAGCTCTTCCCACTACACTGAGAGAGGGACAGTGATGGGAACAGTTGGATAAGGGGAGGTGACCATGCCGGCAAGAGGGCACCCCACCTAGAGATTTCCACAGTCAACCACACTGCAGAGAGAGTCAACTGATTTTGCAGACTAGATGGGGGTTAGACATCAGAAAGGATTTCCTGGTTGAGAAATCACAGAGAGAAAATACAGGGAAGGGGCACCCTCATCTACCCCCCCACCTCTAAACAGAGGGCTCAGCCCCACCGATGGAGCCTGGCTAGCTTGCCCACAAGCCTCACCTGCAGGAAGGAGAGGCTGGCATTGGCGGGCAGGTAGGTGAGTTCCAAGTTACCCTGCACCACCTGGCAGCCCTGGTAGAGGTGGCGGAGCATGTCCAGGTGGGTCTCAGGACTGGCTGGGAGCTGAAGCTTCATGTCTGTGCCGGTGCACACTGGTGGGAGGGAGGAGGTGGGTCAGGACACTGCCCAGTGACCTTCTGCAACCTAGCTGCCTCCTCTACGCCTACTCCCCAAGTCATGCCATTTCAGCTAGGGAGAAACCATGGCTAACAGGCCCCTTCTCCCATGTCCTTGCATCTGCAGTCAACAGTAGAAGAAAGCTTTCACGTTTGCAAAGAAGAGGGAAATCTTGGTAGGGGATCTTCTGGCTGGGCGACCCTGAGCACCATCCAGAGGGGCCCCAGTGTGTCAGCCCTGTGGGGCTTGCCGCCAATACAGGGGGTTAGCTGAAAAAGAAAGCCTCTCTTTGTCCCAAAGGCAGGGACTCAGGGCTGAGGGTAAAAATCCCCCAAGAGAGGCGAAGATGAATCACAACTCTTCTGGATACCCCCTGACCCTCTCCCAAACAAACAAATCCAGGGCTTTCTCCCTCCACCATTCCAACACGCCCACGTGTCAACCTCCTGGCAAGGGATATCTGCCCCCACAATGCCACCCAGAAAGTGGGGAAGAAGGGTCAGCTGGAGTCACAGCTGGGGGTAGCCAGGGGCCTGGTTCATCAGTGCAGAGACCTCTGGAATGTCCCAGTACAGAGAAGAAAAGCTTGGGATTCCAGCTAGGGGGCCTAGCTACAGATCCTGGTCAGGCTGAAGTGTGCTCTACAGGTTCCTACACCACCACCCTCACCCTTGCCACCTCCTCGGGGCAAGACTCCAGAACCAGCTGGCATAATCTATGCCATGAAACTCCTGCCACAAGAACACTACGTCAGCCTTGTGTACCTGCCCAGCGCTAAGCGTCAACCAAGGGGCATCAAGAGAAACCGCCATCCCTCACCCACCTGCCTCTCATCCTGGTGTGCTGGATACCAGACGTGCCCATTCAGCCCCACTAAGACATACTGGAGGGGTTGGTGTCCCTGTGAGGGGGGCTCTGGGTAGCATCCAGCACCAGGCCTGCCAGCAGGGAGAAGATTAAAGTGCCCAGTTGAACTTGTTTTTCTGCTCTGGTGAGAAGATGAATCACCTGGTGCGTCTTGCCCAGGAGGTGTGGGGGGGTGGGCGGAGGGCACCCTGGGATACACAGGTGCCTGAGCTGCTGGGAATTCCTGTTGGTCACTGTTCTATCTCCCAGGGACTACAAGCAGATTCGAGGGACAGTACTTTGGGCTTTGACACTAGGGGCTCTGCTCTCCCAGCAGCTTGGAGCCTATGGCTCCTAGAGGTTAAAAAGAGATCTCTCTGCCTCCTGTACACTGTGGATTGGCTGGGGGCAGGGACAGTCCTTAGATTCCCTATCTACACCAAGGGCCACAAACTGGTGGCTTCCCAATGGCACCCAGAGTAGTCTTTATTCCCAGCCTTCTAGGCAGACAGGGAAGAAAGCAAAGAGCAAGGAAAGGAAGAATCCAGAAATAGAAGTTAAGGGCCTTCTTCTGGATGGAGGGGAGAGATAGCCCGGCCCCTTTATACCCCAAGCCACACCTACTTTCACCCCTTCTCTTTCCTCAGGTCCCCCCTCCCACATACTTCCCAGGAGAAACAGGAGCTAAGGGGTGGCAGGCTAGGCCCAAAATAACGCCCTGCTGCCAGGACCTCCCCCAGTCTCGCAGCCTCAGCTGCTTATAGGCACAGCTGTCTCCAAGCCCAGACTAGGCCCTGGCCAAGCTGGGGACAGGGATGGCAGGGCTGGGGCGGGAGTTCACCCCTGTAGCAGTCTACCCACTATGGCCCTCTGTTGCCTCCAAGGGACACCAGCTGTGGCAGCCAAGCAATAGAAAAACAACAATAGCAGTCACCATGGTTGCTGAGCTGAGCACCTACTGTATGCACAACAGACCCTCTCATCTTTCAGAGACTGAGACTGCTGCCTCTACTTTACAAACAGGGAAACTGAGGCTGGCAGGGGTCAGATTCTTTCAAGGTCATAAAGCAGGGCTGGGGGTGACTCAGAAGTAGAGCACTTCCCTAGCCTGTGTGAGACCCTGGGTTCAATGTCCAGCACCAAAAGACAAAAAAAAAAAAAGAACAAGGTCATGCAGCTTGTGATAGAGGTAGGATTTGAACTCAGGTCTAATGTAGACCCCATATTCTTTCCATTAAGCCTGACTGCACACAAATAACATGCCACACCTGGCACAAATGTAAAAACACACTAATTCTCTGATGCCACCAGTAAACACACAGACTCCAGGCAGGGCAGGGTGGCTGGGCTGGGCGGGAGGTCAGGAAGAGTAAGACTCTTACAGTGTTTGCAGACAGGTGGTAAAATTGGTACCCTGAGATCTACTCCCAGGTAGCTGGAGGGTGCCAGCTGACACCCCCACCAAGCCAACGTGAGGCATTGGCATGCCTCAAGTGCCATCTAACTCCCTACCTCCTTACCAGGCTCCTCCTGCCAGTTCTCACCATGGTCCCCATGGCTCTGATGCCACCAGTAAACACACAGACTCCAGGCAGGGCAGGGTGGCTGGGCTGGGCGGGAGGTCAGGAAGAGTGGCAACCCCGCCCCACCAGCGAGTTTGTTTACCAGATTTGTGGCCAATTTGAGTAAGACTCTTACAGTGTTTGCAGACAGGTGGTAAAATTGGTACCCTGAGATCTACTCCCAGGTAGCTGGAGGGTGCCAGCTGACACCCCCACCAAGCCAACGTGAGGCATTGGCATGCCTCAAGTGCCATCTAACTCCCTACCTCCTTACCAGGCTCCTCCTGCCAGTTCTCACCATGGTCCCCATGGCTACCTGATCCCAGTGATTTGCCAAAAGGTCCTAATTCCACACAGGGGTGCTCTTTGCCTGTGGGACACCTGTACTTGAAGAGCCCCATCCTCCAGCTCTCTGAGACAAAGGCAGTGTGAAGCAGGACCAGTCAGAGCCAGGGCAGGACCCCCAGTGAGCACCAGATAAGCATCTGTCCCATGGATGAATGAATGACGTCTAGTCAAGAGTCAACTGAAAGGGACCAGCATCCATCCCTCTGCTTAGAGCTTGTCACAGTCCTTCAAGTCCCTCTAGTTGGACTTTGGTGGTCAGAGTTTAGTCCTAGCCCCAGGGGTTCTCAAGTAGAAAGCCCAGCAGCTGTTTCTCTCTTTCTCTCTTCTCTCCTTCCTCCCCCCCTCTTTCTCTCTCCCTCAGTACTGGGGATGAAACTCAGGACTTCATGCTAGACAAGCACTGTACTACACCAAACTATACCTACATCCCTAGACCCCGGCTGCTTCTCTTGCTCATAGCATGAACGCCAATACTCCCTTTGTCTCTATGAAAACTGCCAGGAAAGTACCTACATCCCCAAGGCTTACTTCTCCAGACCCAGGGACCAGAGCCCACTCAAGCTACTCAACAATCATACGCACAAACCTGGAGCTGGTATCAAACCAGGGCCTGGACTCAGAGTCTTTAAACTAAAACCCTATGTCACTGTGTGACCATGAGCACATATCTAGACCTACAGGGCAGAAGCTAAGTCAAATTCATCTCCATGCCCCACGGTGCCTGTGACTTAGTTGGCCTTCTCTGAATATTTACTGACCTAAACTTGGCCCTAACAACTCTTACTCCCTCAGAGGAGGTCCCTAAGAGTTAAATGAGAGGAAGAACCGAGAAGCAGTCTGTAAACATGAGGAGGGTTTGTAAACAGACCTGGGGCAAAGGCAACACAAACATTAGCTATAATAATTCTCCCATTCCTCCTAGGAACGCACATCCCCTGCCCCCACTCTGGCTCTCTTCCCAGGGGTAAGAAGATGGGTGGCCTAGCAAAAGACAGAGGTGGCACTCCAGAGGGGTTTCCCACAGGTGGAAGGCAGAGAGGGGGATCTTCTTCCCGATCATTCCATACTCAGGGGCAGGCACACCTACCCTGGGCCCTACCCAGACACCCAGCCCTACACTGACTCCTCATGCTTCCACTCCAGCAGCTTCCCTTGCCCATATAGGCCTGTGTGTCCCAGTGGCTTCTGCCTCCTATCCTCCATCCTGGTCCTGCTGGGAGAGCCCAAGAGGAATGCAGGCATGGGCTAGAAAGGAAGAGAGAGGATTCTGCTGCAGGAGGGGACCTCAGAGGCCCACCATCTCAGCCCACCTTCTATAGCCTGGATAAGGGGATGCTTATATGCATACCATCTGAAAAACAGATTAGCACCTGTTCCCCCACATGACTGCCTGGCTGTCCCCAAGGCTTTCTCAATCCATTCCTGTAGAATGGAATAAGACTTTGACCAACCCTTAACGCCTTCTCATCAGTTCCCAAAACTGGACAGTACTGGTTAGCTGGGGAACCTTGATAAGTCTGTTCATCAATCTGAGGTTTGGTTTTCTCATCTGCATACCTACTCATAGGGATGGGTCTAAGATGAAATAAAGCCATCTATGCACAAGAATCTGGGTGCACACTGCACATTTTATAAAAGTTAAGGTGAGAGAGGTTCATGCAGTAGGATATGGGCAACTCCAAACCCAGAAAAATAAAGTGTTTTCTGTTTGACTTTGGGAAATGCAAGATAAATCTATCTATCTGTCTATCCTTCTATCTATCTATCTATCTATAGATACAGATAGTTAGATGTGCATATATATGTTCTTTTTATATTTGATCCTCTCTTTTCAGTTTTTTTTCTTGAATATTAAAATGAGTATAGTAAAAAAGAGAAGAAAGGTTTTGATAGAATAATGCAATTAAAATCTGAATGAACTCCTCAAGATTAAAAGGATGTTTGCTACAATATACAAAAACTTGACCTCTCGGAAAGAATCCCAGCAAAATCCTGACCTTCCCGGACTCCCCCACATCTCCCCTTTCCCACATTCCTGCTCTAGACCCCAGCTCTGGAATATAATCTGGGTACTAGAGGCAGCTGGGTGGTGCACAGCCTTTATAACTGTTCCCTACACCAGGCACTCTGTCTTGTCCCTCTGCACGCAGCAGTGCACTTGAAGGGTGAAAACTCAAGGAGGCCCCAGTCCAGAGAATCCACTTCTCAGATCCCAACTCTGCAAGGCCACTCCCCTAGCTCCACTCCCAACCCAGCCTGGCCTCACCCATCTCATCAGAAGGTCAGAGGTGAAGATGCCCGCCTGGGAAACAGGGAGGTGCAGGATGGGCTTCCAGAGACAGAAGCCTTCTTCCTCAGCTAGGAGGCAAAGGGCCACCTCCCACTGTTTACAGCAGATCTGGCCCAGCACCTTGAGGGAGTTCCTGGAGAGGGCAGAGTTCAACGTGTGTCCTCAAGCCAGCAGGGAAATAACTGCTGTTTGGCAACACAAAACCTAGACACACAAACACAAAGACCACACACACAACTCATCACAGACATCCAGTCTCAAACACACAAATGGACATCCCAAAGACAGTACAGCAGTGCTGGGCCTCTGGGGGATACACAGTTGTGCTGACACCTACTGCTCTCCAAACTCCCTGACCCATGGAGACCAAATGCTCCAAGAACAAGTTCATTTTGTCTTTCCCACAAGCCAGTGATTCAGGGAGCAGCATCCCGCATTGTTCTAGGTGGATTACTATCTAGATTTTGAATGTCTGGTTGCAGGTCACACTGCCACTTACTAGCTGACACTTAACCTCTTTCAGCCCAGGTTTCACTGGGAAAATGGGAATGCTAAGAGGATTTCTACTATAGGTTTGTTCCCATGACTGAAGCAAGGAAAGCAGTCAAACCTCCACAGAAGGTAGCTGGCGGAAGACCCAGTTCAGAGTATATGTCAGCTTTATCACTGTAGTACAGATGGACAGATGGATCAGGGCACACACTGCCGGCCTCTCCCTCCCCCCAACCCCAGCATGAAGGTAGAGGCAGTACACAACCCTCTGTATACCCCTAGCTAGCCATATTTCTTTAGCTTCCCTCTTTTCACCTTACTAGGAATCCCTCCCCTGGAACTCTATTCTACTTTACTAAGCCAAACCCAGGAAACCACTACCATCCTCCATGGTCCATGCTCGCCAAAAAATCTCAAAGCTCACAATCCCTATGCGGACCCGAAACAGGTTTGTTTAAAACAGGGCTGGGGGTGGAATTCAGTGGTAGAGCGCTTGTCTAGCATGTGCGAGGCCCGGGGTTCCATCCCCAACACCGCGAAAAAAAGAAATGTGTTCAAAACAAATGCCTGCCCCTCCCCCAACCCAGACCCCAGCATGAGGCAACTCGGCAGCCGACCAGCCACCCGGTCCTCCCCGCTCCGCAGGACAGGTTGCTTTTCCCCACCGCCCCCTCTTCCCCCACCCCGTCTAAAGCCGGAGAAACTCAACCCAATCGGCTGGAGGGGGGCGGGGAGGGGGAGGGGCAGGGCAGAGGGGACCCCCAAGGAATCCAGCCCAGTCCAGTCCGGAGGCGGAGGCTGCCAACTGGAAAAGCTTTGAGAAAGCGTGAGGGGGCTCAGAAGAGGGAAAACGCACACGCACACACTCACACACATCACGCAATACACCCTCTGCGGAAAAAAACTTGGAGAGAACTTTCCTGACAAGTTCGCGGAGGCTCCAGGAGTCCAGAAAACTCCGGGGTCTACAGTGGACTGTCTGGAGCCATTTCAGTGTACCGCCCCCACCCCACCTCCTCTGGGCCGCGGGCCCCGACAGCCCCGGGTGCCCCGATCGGCTTCGATCGCTCCGATCCCGGGGGCCGGAGAGCTCGCGGGGCCCCTTTGCCTGTCCGGCGGTGGGCGCGGGACGCAGCTGCAAGGACTGGCGCTGCTCTGTGCCCTCCCCACACCAGACCCACCTTGGGTGCCTGCGGCTCCGGGGGGCAGGAGGGCGAGCAGGAGCCCCCAGCGGCACCAGGCCGCCAGCTCCATGGTGCTCACTGCGGCTCCGGCCCCATGGCTCGGGCTGGACCGGGCTCGGGGCGCAGGGCGCGGCGAGGGCAGCGGCCGGGCGCGGCGCAGGAAAGGGCCGCCTGGGAAGGGGCGCGCGGCTGCCCACGGGGCTCTCCTCGGCTCTCGATCCGGCGGAGGGGAATCTCAGCTCCACAACTTCATGCTGCACTTCCTCAAGCCGCCCTCCTCCTCCACCTCCTCCGCCGCCCGTGATTGGGAGCCGCGCGCTCCCTACTCGTCCCCCCACCCCTCCAACTGCATTCCAGCAAGTCTGGGAGTGGCAACTCCCAGCTTCACTTTCTCCCTCTCCGCGCAGGCCTGGGTGCGTCCCTCCCAGCGCACGGACGCCTGGGTTGCCTGCAGAAGTTCTCATCTATTTCGGTGGAGAAGCGCTAGAAGCAAGGAGGGTGGTCCCGCCCCCGCCCCGGAGTCTGGGGCAGAGAGATTCTGCAGGTTGCCATCCTAACTTTGAAGCCTCAAGTTTTATCTTAAACACTCCTGGGGAGTTTGCGCCCTACTCCATCGCATGCCTATTTGTTTTGATCGGCAGGTAAAACCGACAGCCAAGGAAAGGAGATGGGTTGTGTCTAACTCTGGCTTCCAGGACTCCCTGGGATAGCTTCTCAAATATTTTGGGTATCTCCAGACTGAAAAGCAGTAGTTTTAAGTGGGGGGCGGGGGGAGGGGCGGGGGTTGTCTACGGATCGGAGGAGACAAATTGGAAGGACTTCTGTCTCAAATTTTGGAAGAACATCCTTCCTGTTTCTTTGTAGAAGCATCCCACACCCAATTCATTCACAGTTTCTTCTTTGTCCTTTGTGTTTGATTAGCCTGCTCCATTCCACCTCCCCACCCCGCATTCCACCTGGAGCCCCTGACCCTATTCCTAAGGCCTGGCGGTAGGGGTGGGAGGAGAAAGAAGGCATGTTTTTGTTGGTAATTCCAGCAACATATTGCAGAAGACATATTTGTACTAACAAATTACTCGTTGTTTATCTGAAATTCAAATTTAACTTGCACCCTTTTATTTGTCAAATCTGGTGATGTTGCTTGGAATGCTCCAGCCTGTGGCACACTTGTACTGGCCAACAGGGGGTCAGAGGAGCCTACTGGGGACAAAGGATATGGCATTTCTTCTTAATTTTTTTTTTTTTAAAGTGGGACTGGGGTTCGAACTCAAGGCTGCATGCTTGCAAAGCAGTTGCTCTACTGCTTGAGCCACACCTCCAAGTCCGGATATGGCATTTCTTAACTTGTTTCCATTGCTGAGCACAGTTCTAGGCAGGCAAGTCCACAGTAGAGGGCTAGAGAACAGGGGGTTCTGTGATCTAGATTACCTGGGTTCAAATGTTGACTATATCACATATTAGCTGTATGACCTTGGACAAGTGACTTGAGTGTTCTCTGGGTTGCAGTTGCTCATCTGTAAGACAGCATCTGGTGAAAGGAAGTAACACTACTGAAGCACTCAACACAGTAATTACATAAAAGTAATTGCTCAGTGAATGGTCCCAGGTTTACTTAGATACTGGGAAAGATTGGAGATTTGTGGGGATGGAAGAATTTGAAGGACTCTAAGAAAAAGGAAAATAAAAAGTAATTAATTCAAAATTAAGTATATGTATGCAAATAAGGAGCCTGAAGTTTACCCTTTCTTACCAGTTTAGATGATCAAGCCAAGTTTTCTGGGTTTTTGTTTTGTTTTGTTTTGTGCTTTTTTCTAAAGAAGTAGAATGGCAGGAGGGCTGGAATGTGGCTTAGCAGTAGTGCACTTCTGGGTTTAATCCCCAGTGAAGGAAGGAAGGAAGGAAGGAAGGAAGGAATAGAAAAATCCAAACACACCACATATAGGTCAGGTGGACTTTTGTATGTATGACCTAGATGATGATGTAAAGTTGATTTATTTCTTGCACTGTTGTCAGGAACATTTGAGAAATGTATACTGTATACTGGGACACAGCAGCTCTCAGGATGGCCATCAGTATCCCTGTTTTCTCTTGGGCTAGTGTTACAGTAAGGTTGAGGATTAAGAAAATTGAGGCTCAAAGGAGTTAAGCAATTTGCTCAGAACACTTAGGACCAACAGGAATAGTTAAGCATCTAGCAAAACCAGGACCTCACCCTCACCCTCACCCCATTGTCCAACCCAGGACCTAGTCCTTGTGCCTCTCACACTGATCTGGCTCTGAGAGTCACTCATTGGTCATACACTGAAAGGCTTGCACCTGGGCAAGTGTGCATGAAGCCTTGGAGAGACCATCTGGATGTTACTGTCCTCTCCCCCAGGCCACCCCACTCCCATCCTTAGTGTTAGGACGTGTTCAGGGTTCATCCAGTGGGAAACTATTGTGGATGGCATCCTTAATTGGATCTCTACCCCGTGCCCCTCTGTCCTAGAGTCACATACCTCACCTCACCATACCTCACCTCACCAGTCTTCCAGAGGAGGCCAGTATTACCGGTTCCCCATTTCACGCAAGTGCAACCCTAACATTCAGAAAGGTAAAGGAACTTTTCCAAGGTCACAGAGCTGAGCTGGGAACTGAGCCATAGAAGTTTTGGCTTTGCTATTATCTTCAAGAGCCTGCCCTCTCCCCAGGCCCCTGAAGGGGAGCCAGAGATGCCTCCTCCAAGAAGGCATTAGGGTCTCTCCAAGCACAAAGATCACTGCTCCCCTCTCCCTTCCCTCCTTGCCCCACCAAAGCAAAACCTACCCCATGGACATCTAAGCCCCCTGGAAGAAGCAGGCCTGGCAGACAATGCCCAGTCCCAGTGGGCTGCAGGGTGGGGGCGAGGGGAAGGAGGCAGAGCTGCCTGAGCTGAGGGAGGCAGAGCAGGGATGGGGGAGGAGCTGGGGGTCAGAACTCACGCCCTAGGGAGGAGGCTCTAGAGGGCCGAGCCTCCCAAAGAGAATGAGTGCATTCAGAGCTGGGAAGGAAGAGGAAAAAACCTTGCCTGGTGTTTGACAAGAGGAGAGGAAGGGGGGCAGGGGTGGGTACTGCTGATTCCATTCTTTACTCAACTGTCCCTCCAGCCGGGTCTGGCAGGAGAGCCAAGGAAAAGAGGAGTCTGAGGGACAAAGGCTGAGGAGGGTGCTTGGGGAGAAGAGGGGGGTTGTCAGAGCTTGAGAGTTTGCTAGAAGAGCCTAGTAAGGGGCCGGGGAAGATGGAGACTGGGCAAGAGAAAAGGGTGAGTGCAGAACACGGGCCCAAATCTAGGGTCAGAGGGCAAGATGCATGAGGTTTGCCTAAGAAGTTCTCTGGGCAAGATACCCGCCTTCGGGGCAGTGAAGACCACCGACTGAAGAGGCAGGGCCGGGTTCACGCTTATGGAGGTGACCTCTGAGGGTCACCAGGCTAGGGTCTGAAACCAGCAGCCTGTGAAATGCCAGTCAATCATTGACTAGCCACTGAGGCTGGGGGGCACAGGAGGCCATGTGGGGTGTGCGTGTATGTGCGTGTGTGCATGTGGTGTGTGTGTGTGTGTATGTGTGTTGGCACTACAGTCTCCTCCTCTCTGCTTACCTCACCAGCCAACCTGGGGTCAGAGGACTAAAAACAAACAGAAAAAGGGAGGAGCTGGTCTGGTCCACAGTCCGAGGTCCAGGCCACAAACGGGACCTACCCCATGAGGCCTTGAGACTGGGGCTGGGGAAGTGTTTGTGCCTCCAGAGTAGGCACAAAGCCTCCCTGGGGCCAAAGGGGAATAATTTAGAGTTTTCTGATAAGAAAAGTGGTTCTTCCAGAAGGTGGCCTTTTATGAACATGTGTCGCCTAACCACCGGAAAACGGCTCCCTGGCCCGAGGTTAACCCCAGGCTCCAGGCTAACCCTGAGCCAGCTGAGGCCATTCTCAGCCCCTCTCACCTATATCTCAGGAATTCAGGCTTCAGGCTCTGGAGTTTGTCTTTGACTCACAAGGCTGTTTGCAGGAACAAAAAGTATGCTTCTGTCCTTGGACTCTGTTTTATGCATATATGATACAGCCTGTATGACTTCCATCATGGCTGTCAGGGTACGTGTCTCCACTGTTAGTGTGTCGTATGGCCTATTTAACATGCGCCTTTAGTTTGTTCATGGGTGTTTCCTCAGACTGTAGTGTTGCTTGTGGCCTTGAATAAGGCTTTATTTTACTATCTGAAATACGAGAGAGTTGCACAGAATGATTCCTGGTCAATGTTTTATGTTTTTGTTTTTGAGACAGAATCTGTGTTGCCCAGGCTGGTCTTGAACTCTTGGACTCAAGCAATTCTCTCACCCTAGCTTCCCAGGTAGCTGGAATTATAAGCAGACACCACTATATCTGGCTTCTGATCAGTGCTTTAGGATTTGATGAAAGAGTACTGAGCACTGAAACTTTCATGCTGTCCTTTTCTTGAAAGGCCCATTTCAAGGGATTTTCAGATTCCTTCATGAGCATGGAGTCTTCCCATGCTCCACTGAGCCCTTCAGGTCTCCAAGTTCATCTCCTGTGCTGCTAGAGGTGTGGACCACTGGGGTGTGAATGAGGACATTCTGGCCTCTGACTTTTGACTTTGGAAAGAGCAGGCTAGGAAGCTTCCAGAAGCATACAGATGTGGCATCATGAAGTCCTAATTTGGAGTACAATTCCAGTTTCAGATTATTTCACTCCCTGAACCCACCTTATTGATTCTTCTTTTTCTTACATACAATCATTCTTTAAGATCTAGTCACTCCTAAGCCAGGTGTGATGGTACATGCCTGTAATCCTAGCACTTGGGAGGCTGAGGCAGGAGGATTGTAAACTCAAGGCCAGAATGGAATACATAGTGAGACCCTGGCTCTACAATAACAATAGCTGCTGGGTGCCAGTGGCTCATGCCTGTAATCCTAGCTACTCAGGAGGCAGAGATCAGGAGATCTCAGTTCGATGTCAACCTGGGCAAATAGTTCACAAGACCCTATCTTGAAAATACCCAACACAAAATACCCACTCCAAACTGGGTGCCAGTGGCTCATGCCTGTAATCCTAGCTACTCAGGAGGCAGAGATCAGGAGAATCACAGTTTGAAGCCAGCCCAGGCAAATAGTTTGTGAGACCCTATCTCTAAAAAATCCATCACAAAAAAGGTAGAGTGGCTCAAGGTATAGGCCCTGAGTTCAAACCCCAGCAGTGAAAAAAGAAAAACAAAAAACATCAACTCCAGCAGAGTGTCTCAAGTGTTAGAGCACCTGCCTAGCAAGCATGAGGCCCTGAGTTTAAACCCCAGTACAGTGACTTGTGCCTGTAATCCTAGCAACTCAGGCAGAGATCTAGGCCAGCCTGGGCATAAAAGCAAGACCCTATTTGAAAAAATGAAAAGGGCTAAGGGTGTGCCTCAAGTGGTAGAGCATCTGCCTAATAAGTGCAAGGTCTTGAGTTCAAATCCCAGTACTGCCACAAGAAAAAAACAAAGGGAAAAAAATCTATCAACTCCTCTTCAGTTCACTGATGCCTTTTTTTTTTTTTTTTTTTAATTTCTGCCACCAGCTGATCTAAGCCTCTGTTCTCCTCTTGGCTTCTTTAACACTCTTCAATGACTTCTCATCACCAACAGTCTCCCCCAGACCCATGACACCCACAGGGCCTGGTCTCTGACCACTGCTTCAGTCTCACAGCAATCCAGCCACCAAGGCAGTTTTCATGTTTCTCAAAGATGTCCAGCTTATTCTTGCCTTAGGGCCTTTGCCCTGGCACTTTCTCAGCCTAGAACCATCTGCCGCAGGGGTTTGCAGGGCTGGTTCCTTCAGGTCAGGCAGGTTTCAGACCAAAATGGTCTCTCTGGCCACCCAACCCAAAGTAGCCTTCCCCTCAATTCTGGTTCCCATCCCCCCTCTATCACTGTTACGTTATCTAATCATCTTTCATTCAGCATTTGTTCATTCGTGGGTGGTGGTGGTCACACCTATAATCCCAGCTACTTGGGAGGCTAAAATCAGGAGGATTATGGTTCAAGGCCAGTCCAGGCAAATAGTTCACAAAACTCCATCTCCAAAATAACCAGAGCAAAATGGACTGGAGTTGTGGCTCACGTGATAGAGCATCTGCTTTACAGGAGTGGAGACCTGAATTTAAACCCCAGTCCCACCCCCCCAAAAATGGGTTTTTTTTACATTTTATCTTTGTTTTTTATTTTGGGGTGGTTGGCAGTACTGGGGTTTAACTCAGAGCTTTGCCCTTGCTGGGCAGGCACTCTACCATTTGAGCTATGCCCCCATTTTTTTTGTTTTACCTAAAGGCTTTTTTTCTTTTCTATACTAGAGTTTAAACTCAGGACTTTGCACTTCCTTGGCAGGTGCGTTACCGCTTCAGCTACGCCTCCAGTTCCTTGTTCCTTTTACTTTTGGTTATTTTTCAGTTAGGATCTAGCTTTTGGCTGGCCCGGGACCATAATCCTGCTACCTATTCCTCCCAAGTGGCTGGGATTACAAATGTGAACCACCACACCTGCTTATTGATTAAAATGGGGGTCTTGTTGACTTTTTGCCAAACTATCTTGGACCCTCCAACTTCCCAATCTCCACCTCCAGAGTATCCGGGATAACAGATGTGAGCCACTGTACTTGGCCAGAATCTAAAAGTCTTAAGTGTCCTATTTCTGCCTAAAAATTCTCTCAAAAGGGAAAGCTTTATTTTGTCAGGATTTCATCCTCTTTGGTTCTAAATGTCTTCTTCTTTAAATGGTGATCCTCATAAAAAGATTTATCCCCAAAATAGTGAGGACAAAAAAAAAAGTATTAAAAAAAGGACTGATTGTTTTGGGGGGGTGGGCAGCACTGGGGTTTGAATTCAGGGCCTACAACTTGAGCCACTCTGCCAGCCCTTTTTTGTGATGAGTTTTTTTGAGATAGGGTCTCTTGAACTATTTACTCAGGCTAGCTTCAAACCATGATCCTCATGATCTCTGCCTCCTGAGTAGCTAGGATTACAGGCGTGAGCCACCAGCTCCCAGCCTGATTTTTTTTTTTTAATGAAAAAGTGTTTGAGGCCAGGCAGGGATACATAGTGAGTTTGAGTTTGAGGCCAGCCTAGGCTACAAAGTGAGCAGTACTCTGTCAACGTGATGATGCAAAGTGGTATTAGCATTCCATTGTTTCCAATCAGCTACTGGAAAGCTGAGTGGTTGTTTTATTCATTTCAGGTTTCCCAGTCAGTATCAACTGGATGCTCAACTCTAGAGGACATTTTTCATGTTATTTTTAACTGGGGAGAGGTTTTTTTTTTTTTTTTTGTCTTTTCTTTTTTGGTGCTGGGATCGAACCCAGGGCCTCACGCATGCTAGGCAAGCGCTGTACCACCGAGCTGGAAGAAGTGCCATTCACAGAAAATGCAGTAGGAATGGTGCACCCCTGAGCATCATTCACAGAAAGTTCAATGTGAGTCATGCCTTGCTAAGTAGGGTGCAAGAGCTGAGGGCTCTAGATATGTTTTTTGGGTGAATGAATGAAAATGGGATCCCATGTTAATTGTTGCTCATTCCACCTTCAAACCCACACCCTTCAGCCCCAACTTCCCCTCCAGAATAAAAAGGAAAATTTGACCAGGAGTGTAGAGAGAGGAGGAGGAAGAAAGGCAGTCATTAGCTACATGACTTCAATGTTTCAATATTATTTGGGTGGGTGGATGCTGGTGCTCATTCAGGGAAGTGGGGGAGAAGGGGGAGACTAAAGCAAGTATCCTATTCCCAAGGGTCTTCTTTAATTTTTTTTCATTCATGCATTACATCTCTTCTATCTCAGTGTGGAACCATACTGGTGATTTGACAACTCCAGGTTAGGCATCCTGTGAATTTTATGTGAACTCATGTTGCTCACTAATAATAATAATAATAATAATAATAATAATAAACCCTAATTTGAGCCAAATTCCATACTAGTACTGGAGGCAGAGTGGTAAATAGAACCTGAAAGATCCCCACCCCTTGTGGAGAAAATAGACCACTGTGTATCACCCTGTAGGTGTAAATAATTCTCCTTCAGGAGGTAGCATTTAATTGAGAATGGAAGAATAAGCAAAAATGAGAGTAACGGTGGTAGAAATAGTGCAAGGACAGGAGGGTGGGGGGACGTGACCCTTTGAAGTAGATCTGGGCAAAGGAGGAGGAGACCGGTGGGCAAGCACAAAATCATGTAGGGCTTGTGGAGTTTGAATTATATCTGAGGTTAATTGGGAGCTAGTAAAGAAATTTGAGGGAAGATGTGTTCAACTTTGAATTTTAGAAAATGGAGTGCAGATCGTAGGGGGCAAAAGTAGAAGCAAGGAAACCGGTTAAGAAGCTATTGCTGGCCGGTCGCCGGTGGCTCCCTTCTGTAATCCTAGCTACTCAGGAGGCAGAGATCAGGATTGCGGTTCGAAGCCAGCCCGGAGAAATAGTTCATGAGACCCTATCTCGAAAATACCCAACACAAAAAAAGGGGGCTGGTGGAGTGGCTCAAAGTGAAGGCCCTGAGTTCAAGCCTCAGTACTGGGAAAAAAAAAAAAAAAAGCTACTGCAGGTGTCTCAGCGACAGATGATAAAAGGCATCGGAAGAGATGGAGAGCAGTGAACGGTGCCAGGTACATGTGGGAATGACAGGGCTGGAGACACAGTCCTGTGAGACTCAACTAAAGTTAGGTCTTTTCTGTCAAAGGAGTCAATGTAAAACTATCACTGTGCAGACGCCAAGCTAGCCTCAACAAATCGCTGCCTACATGCTTTTGTGAAACGCTGCTTGACCTTGCAAGGTTCTTGCGGTCGAAGAGCTGTTTATCGCCAGATGTGCTAATCTCAGACTGCTCGCTTAAAGATGAATATTGCCCAAAACAATTTTCTCCTTCTTCCTGCTTCAAGGTCCCCCTTACCCCACGCGCCCCCTTCTCTAAGTAACCATTCGCAAAGACTGTGAACCCAAACCTGTCCATCGGAGTGAGGGAAAGAGAGAGATAAAAACTGAGCTGATTCCACTCAGTGTATTCTGCCTACCAGACTCTGGTCTGTGGCGGCACCCTTTTGCAAAAGTAAAACTTTTCTGTTTGTCTTAATGAGCGACTCCCGCTTGTTTCTTTGATCAATGTTTGGACACGGCATTTCTAACTCCTACTTGAAGAAATCCTGGAGAAGAAAAAAATTATTTTGCTCTTAATCCTACCAGTCGCCCCTTTCCCTAAAGGATATGACCTTAATATGTGGAAATGGCAGTGGGACCAGGGGCGGAGCAGACGCCCACAAAAATCCGGGAACTTTCATTTAAAATAGGTGGCTGACAGCGGATGGTTCAATGATGAACACAGGTATTTCCGGTTACTCCGGAAGTGCAGTTTCACATGTTCCTAAGCCCCTCCCTCGGCGGCCAGCCACAGTGCCGAGATGGCCGGCCGGGCGGCGTGGCTGGTACTGCTAGCCGGGACAATAGCGCTTGCAGGCGGCTCCCAGGGTGATCGCGAGCCGGTGTACCGCGACTGCGTGCTCCGGTGCGAGGAGCGGAACTGTTCAGGAGGCGCACTGAAGCACTTCCGCTCCCGCCAGCCAATCTACATGAGCCTAGCAGGTAAGCCCCACCCCCTGGGTAAGCTCCTCCTATTGGTCTTGGCACCTCCCATTACGACCCCAATACCCAGAAATCTCAACTTTAGGTTCCACACTGGGTGTCTTGAGTATGAGTGAGTGGAACTTCCAGCGTGGTGGGGATCTCATCAGCCTGTCTTACTTTCCCAGAAGCTTACTTCAAACCACTATTAAATACTTCCTGCGTACAGTTCCTGGAATGACACAGAAATCAGACCAAGGGCAGGCTTGTGGTCTCAGTGGGACCTTAGCCTTCCCAAGTAGAGAATGATTTGAGGCTAAAGGCCCCTTAGATTAAGCACTAGATGCGTTTGGAAGAGGAAAGAATGGATTCTGGCTTTGAAGGGTAGTGCAGGGATCTCCATATGACTTATGAAGGAGGGACTTCCAGATGGGTATAATTAAACTTGGAATATAGTGGGCGAGAAACCAATATATTGCCACTTACTGTGTGACATATGTCAGAATAGGTTACCACAACCCTTTGAGGCAATTTATCTGTCCTTTTACAGTTGGGGAACTCAAAGAGGAAAAGTACCCTGCCCAAGGTCATACAGCCTATAAGTGGTGAGCAGTTTCTAGTTCTGTACTGTTTGACCACAATCTTGTCCTTGTTACTACCCCTTTCCATTTCAAACAGAAGGAACAGAGAGAGTGGAGGTCCAGTCCGGGGCAGATGTGGGCACACCAAGCAGCTTGGTTTACCTAGGGAACCAAGGAATAGTGGCAATAAAGGTGGAAAAGGCAACTTGGAACTTCAAAAGTAAGGTTGAAGGATTTGGGCTTCATTTGCACAGGACAGGGAAGACAGAAGTAGAAGTAAATCTTGTGTTCAGGAAGGACAAACATATACCTAGGTCTCAAAAGATGAGTCCATTTGCTCCCATCCCTGAAATCCACTTACATAAATACACAAACCTTCCCCTTGTGTGTGTCTCACCCTCTCTCCTCTACCCAAGTGGGAGGCTAGAATTTTGAGATTTCCTCTGATTCTCTCCAATCTGCAGGCCCTCTTGACCTCTATTTGTACTTAGACTCCACCAGGCTCTCTCTGTGCCTCCCTGGGCTGGGTCCACAGGCCCCATTTGTTTGTTTCAGGCTGGACTTGTGGAGATGACTGTAAGTATGAGTGTATGTGGGTCACCGTTGGCCTCTACCTCCAAGAAGGTCACAGAGTGCCTCAGTTCCATGGCAAGGTGAGTTGGAGGGTCAGGGAAGGTACATGGTGGTGGAATAGTGAAAGTAACATGCCCTGTAGTTGGCCCAACTGTCCAAGCAGTCTTTAATGACAGGTGATGGGGGTGTGATTGGGGCAGGACCTACTCCCAGATTCTGATTTTCCTATTATCCAGTGGGATCCTAACGTGTCCTGCTTCTGGATTTGGAATAACATGATCTGAGAGGCTTTGGAGTCTCCTGAGAGTGGTATTGGACTTTTTGGGTGGTTGAAATGGCCAGCTTGCTACAGGGACAAGTTCTGACTCACCATGGCATGTTTTCTATTGTTTCGCAGTAGGGGTCTGGAATTAATATCAGTACCACACCCCCATATTGTCCAGTTTCCAGGTGCTTCTTGATCCACTATTAATCTC